TCCCCCACCCGCCCAGCACCTGCCCACCGCCCAAGAAAATAAATAAATAAATAAAAATTACAACAAAAATATATCCTGTACAAATGAGTGGTAATGAGCAAGTTGGTACCATAGCAGCACGGTAACGTTGCTCCATCTATGCTTGGTTCTAACTTCAAATGTTTGATGGATTGATTTTTAAACGCAACGGCTTCTGCTACAAAAATTCCAAGAATTAAACGCGGTCGCCAAGAAATGTCATTTTTCTTTACATTTCTCAACTTATTCCCCTTCGGCAGTTTTTTGTGGCGGAGAACAGAGAAGGCACAGCAAGAGATGGGCAATAAGGTGAGCATCAGCAAGGACGAGCTCGAGTCGATTCAGTCCGAGTCTCAGCGTACGTTGCGTGCATGGTCTTCCTGTTGGACTGTCTGTCGCATGGTTATGTTGGCTGTGCACACCTGACGCCACACACGACAGTCTCTGTCGAGGCCATCAAGGACCTCTCCAAAGAGTTCAACAAGGTGTGCGACCGCAAGGGACAGGTGCGCTACCCCCCGCCCCACCACCATCGTCATCTCCCCTTCTCTTTTTTTTTTTTTTTTCATCTTCGCGTAGCACCTTGGCCGGCTTCACTTCACCGCCAGCACAGCCGAAAAACGTTAAAAGTTTGACCAGCGTGGGCTCATTAATTTGAAACCAAACGGCTCTCGTGTCGTGGTGTTGGTGGGGACAGGTGACGAAGGAGAACTTCAAGGCCATCCTGCGGCAGGCCTACGGTTCGGACAACTCCACCATGGCGGCCTCCATCTTCAAGATGTTCGACACCGACGGCAGCGGGTACGTACCACCGACCCCTTGCGTGTCCGTTGCCGGCACACAGACAATCACTGACACCACGCAACACACGCACACGCACACGCAACACGCACACGCACACGCACACGCACACGCAGATCGATCGATTTCCGAGAGTTTGTGATGGCGTTGAGCTTCATGCACTCGGATCGCGTGGAGGACGTGGTCGAGCTCTGCTTCCGCTGTCTCGATCTGAACGGCGACGGCGAGATCTCAAAGGGTTCGTGGCAGGCCGCCCACCGCGTCTGCCGCTGCTGCTCAGTGCTGGTACGACGACGCTGACTTCACCCGGTGGAATGTGAATGGACTGTGGTGCGCGGCGGTACTGGCACTGTGCAGGCGAGATGCGGGCCGTGTTCGAACTCCAGCGCAAGTTCCAGAAGTACACCAACCTGAGCCGCTCGGACTCAAGCCAAGCCCTGTCCCTGGACAAGGTGAGAGAGATGTTGGTAAACACGACTGTCTCACGCAACGGCACACTCATCTGTGCGTGTGTCGTGCGTGTTTGTGATGTGAAGGTGTCGCTGGTTTACAGTGATGTGGGCAAGCTGAACAACGAGTCGGACGCGATATTTGCGCGAATCGACGTGAACGGCGACGGAGGCATCACGCGCGACGAGTTCATGGCCGCCATGTCGGCCGACCCCGAGCTTCGGGCCAAGATGCAGGGGCTGCTCATGAAGTCGCAGGTCAACACCATCTTCAAGGGCAGCACCAGCAAGGTGGCCCACTGAGCCTCTTCTGGCGCGTAAACCTCGTTATGTTCTGCGGCTGTGTTGTGGAAGGTCTAGAGTGGCCGCAACAACAGATAAGTCACGGCGGCGACGCCCAGTCTTGTCTTCTCCTCCACCACTTCAACACTCCGCCCATCACACTCGGCTCCGATGTCTGGCCCAACCGGTTTCCTGCTGTGCCTCCTGGCCTGCTGCCTGCTTCACAACGCTGCGTCCGCCGATGTAGTGTTGCACTATCCCGACCACGATGCTTCGCTGGTCGCAGTCTCTCTTGCCGTACGTAACCTACGACGTAGCCAAAGGAATAGAGAAAAGATCAGGGAAATGGTGTCGACACAGAACAACACGATCAGAAGCTGGGCTCGCTTCTCATCGATCAACTCGACGAACGGAGCGTTACACAAAGAAAGAAAGCTGTAGAGAATATAGAACACAAGATGGAGAGCACCAGATTGAAATCGCGAGGAGATTATGAAGAAGGCGGCAGCAGCTTGTTCGGCAAGCCGCCAGGCCTCGTGGCGGTGCTCATCGGTAATGCGGTGGTGCTCGTGGCTGCGGTGGTGCAGGGCGCAGTCTACTACAGCATGCTGCCCGATGAACTGCCCGCCCACTTCGACTGGCAAGGTACTGGCCAATTAATTAAGATTATCATTTTTATTTTTATTTCAATCGATTTTATTCTGTGTAAGCTGGTGTTAATCGATTTTGGACTGAAGTGATGATGATTACATTATGATATTTAAACTTATTTATAATCAGGCAAAGTGGACGCGTACCGATCCAAGGCGTTCATGGTGGGCATCTACCTGGCGGCGGTGATCCTCGCTCAGGCTCTCTTCATCTTGCTCGGCCATCTCCTGCCGAGCTGCAGCGGCGGCGGCGCGGCGCTCCAGGTGCCCGCGCGCGAGTACTGGCTCAACCCGGCCTTCCCCGAGCGACAGGAGCGGGCCTTCGCCTACTTGAAGTTCTGGCTCATGGGCTTCGGCATGACCTTCGGGGCCTACCTGGTCCTCTTCTTCGCCATCGTCTTCCACATGGCCTACACGGGCGACCACAGCGGCTTCTTCTGGTTCTTCTGGCCACTCACCATCGCCTACCTCGTGCTGGTCGCCTTCGGCGTCTACTCGCTCTACTCGCACTTCCTCAACGAGCCCATCAAGGAGGCCCTCATCAACTACGCCGAAATGGGCGGCTCCTACGAGACCTTCTCCACCCCGTCCCGCATCTACTACCAGTAGTAGAAGCAGTAGTAGTCGTCCCTCTTCTTCTCCTTCTTCGCGTGTATATACCGTCTTTGTGTAGTGACTCTCAACGTTCACGTTCATCATCAACAACAAAAGAGCAAAGGAGCTGAACATCAAAAGTTGGCCGAGATCTCGTACATCTGGTCGATGTTGACCGTGATGCGACCATCCCTGTCGTAGTCCAGCCTGTGTGTCGTTGGTCGTGTCGTGTCGTGTCGTGTCGTGTCAGCAATGCAAGGAAAGAAGAGAGAGAAAGGGTCTCGAGAAGAAGACGCACCGCTCGAGGACGGACCGGGCGAGGGCGATGTGGGCGACGATGCTGATGAACTCGGCCATGTTGAGGCCCATGCCCGACCGGTTGTACTTGTTGTAGAGCCCCTGCGCCGCCTTGAACGAAACGTTCGTGAATCCGCCCTTGAGGATGGCCTCGTGGATCTCCCGCGCATCAAGCCTGCCGTTGCCGTCTTTGTCTCCCTGTCGTGTGTGTGTGTGTGTGTGTGTCAACAGGTGGCTTGAGAACAGCTTGTCGAAGAGGAGGTGGTCACCATCTTGAACGTTTGCTGCATGCTGAGCAAGAACTTGTGGAGCGACGCATACTCGTTGAAGTCTGGTCACAGGAAACACGTCAGTGGTGATGGCGATGTCAAGCGTAGCAACATGGCAATAAACGAGAGAAGGAGGAGGTACCGATGGTGCCGTTGCCGTCGACGTCAAAGACGCGGATGAGCTTCATGCCGTTGTCGATGCCCAGGACGGAGCCGCCCACGGCCACGTTGGCCAGCTCGTTGGCCGAGATCGAACCGCTGTTGTCCCGATCCATGCTCCTGCACGCCGCACCAACATCGACATATGTCAACACGACGATGCCCATTCACTCAGAGTCCTCTACGCCGCACACATCGAATTGATAAGTTGTACGCACCTGAACCAACGCTGGAGTTCGTACAGCTCCTGCTGGGGAATCTGCGAGTAGTACTGGCCGCACTGTAACAACACCCAGCAGGGTGAGCGTGATCGCACTTCAAGTACGTGCTGGCGATGAAATGGTGCGTACCCATCCCTGAGGCTGGGCAGCACCGGGTCGAGGCGGCTGCTGCTGCTGCTGCTGCTGCTGCTGCTGTGGCGGAGGGGCACCACCGGCATAGTGGCCGGGTTGTTGGTGTTGTGGTTGCTGCGACATGCCGCCCTGCTGGGGCTGGCCCTGGTAGTAGTACTGCTGACCCTGCGGTTGCTGCGGCGGCATGCCTCCGCCCTGCTGGGGCGGACCATACCACTGCTGCTGCTGCTGCGAGCCAGGCGGGGGGTACTAGAACCGGTGGTTAGTTGGCATTCAAAAAAAAATATTTAAAACGATGTGATGCATTGTTCCGCAGGTGAGATGAGATGAGATGGAGTGGAGTGGCAGTACCTGCTGCGGTTGCTGTTGGTAGGGGTAGGCCATCAAGTCGTCTCGAGACACTTCGGTGTGGTTGTGGTGGTGATAGATTGTGAGTGTGCTGCGCTGCGCGGTCTTTGCGGTGTATTGCCTTCAAATAAAAATAAAATAAAACGTCTCGTTCACTGCAACATGGCGGCGGTGGGGGTGGTGGGCTACGAGGACGTGCGACTCACTGATACGGCCAGCGTGCTGGCCCGTGCTTTTGCAACCGACCCCGTCTTCTCATGGGTTCTTCTTCCGCACTCAGCTGACGTCGATGCAACTGTCAGTACTAACAGACTGAGTGTTGATTTCTTTCCGTTGGTGCAAACCTCCAGCTTACGAGCCACCTGGGGTCAGCCGGCAGGATGACCGCCCTCCACGAGATAATGGTACGCCCTATGCTTTGTTCATCTGCCTTAAGATTTTATTTTTTTATTTATTTATAAATTCATTTGATGTGTGGTGCACGTGCAGGAGACGCTCACCAGAGCGATTTACGCACCACACGGGGAGTCCTATCTGGCGTTGCCCGAGGGTGCCAAAGCGGCGCAGACGGACATCAAGCTCAAGGGCGTCCTCCTTCTGCACCCGCCTCTCGTGAAGGAGAGCTTCGTGGACCACATGAAGCATGGCATTCACAGGTAATTACTCAACCTTCACTGTTCTTGCCCCGAGTGCCTCATAGGTGCTGTTTCCACTCATTCGCTTCTGTGTCGGGCTGCAGGCTGCCTGTGATCACTGGGCTGAAGGGAATGGGCAAGATCCTGCCCTCACTGCTACGCAGCAGCCTGCTTAAAGAAGTCGTCATGGCCGACTCGCTCGGTACTCTCCAACGACACGACATGGCACGACACGACAATACAATGGGGCTTACCCGTGCGCCTTGTGCTGCAGAGCGAGGCTTTTGGTATGTGGGCTTCCTGGCAGTGGACCCCGATTGTCAGGGACAAGGAGTCGGCAGCGTTCTCCTACAGTACTTATCGAGCCACTTCCGATGATGATGATGATGATGATGATGATGGTGATGAAGACGACCAGCCTTGTCGTTGAAGCTCACCATTCATATTTTGATGTTGTGTCAGGTCGGTGGTGGACAAGGCCGACAAGGAAGACCTGCCGGTCTACCTCGAAACGGGCAACCCGAGGAATGTGCCGTGGTATGAGAAGTTCGGCTTTGCCACTGTGTACACCGAGAAGGCCGGCTTTATGGGACCCACCGTCTTCTACATGCGCAGGTGCACCACCGCACTCGCACGCACGCACACACACGCACCATGCTCATCTCAATGCTTCGGGAACAGGGAGGTGCAGAGCATGGACAAGCAAACGAAGGAGCAGTTGCTGGCAAAGGCCAAGCAGAGGGTGGCCGATTCGAACGAGTCCCTCAAGCGCGGCCTGCTCGCCGTAGGCATCGGTTTCGTCGTGCTCGTGCTCCTTCTCTTCTATGTCTACCGTTGATGTGAGGCGCTTTGTAAATTTCTCCACTTCGACTGCACCAGAGCTTGGTTCCCGCCAAAATTTTGCGCGCCAAAATCCAGATTGGCAAACGTTCATCTTCAAGCGATCAACAAATTCGCCATCTTCACAGGAGGGGCTTCATAGTAGTAATTGTGTTCTTCGCCTGGGTCTTTAAGTAGACGCAGGACAAGAAGACCTGTTGCATACCAAAGCGGGAAGGGCAATTGGTGAAAATGGCCAGTAATTCTGGTACGATAGACATGGGCAACGTGCTCAAGGTCATGAAGGCGGGCAAGGCGACCAAGAACACCCTCGCCGCCTTCGAATCGCTCAATGCTCTGCTCAAGGCGAGCGATTCTGGTGCGGCGGCGCAGATCAAGCCGCACGCCCACGAGCTCGTGGACATCTACGTCGCCCTCATCTCGCGACACGCCGAAACCAAGAAGATGTGCGTGCACACCCGCCCACTCCTCTAGTCTTCTCCGTGCCTCAACTCATCTCATTGCAACATAGGGCCGAGATAGCACTGCGATCGCTGGGCTATTTCACCTACAACAGCGTAGCAGTCTCACAACTCAATGGTAGACCGCCCATGCTTGGCCACTCCACAGTCACTCACAACATTTGCCACTTTTCTTTTGTCTGTGATGCTGATGCAGAGGCGCAGTCCGAGCGGATCCTCACAGTGATCCTCGACGTGATCACCACCTCTGAAGTCAAGGTACCACTGCCATTGAGCCCTTCTGAATGATAATCTGCCATTGCTCACAACCTCCCTCCTTATTCCTGTGATTTGTTTGTTTGTGGTGCACTAGTCGGCTTGTAACTTAGCGGGTGCGCACACTGACTTGCACTCTCATCTCATCGCATTACTTTTATCTCAACCTTGCTAACTCTCTCATATTCCTGCCCAGTGTGGTGCATTGCCATACAGCAGCTGCGCCATGTAGTGGCAAAGAGGGTGAAGGACATCATCGTTGCTGTGACCGGCCTCATCGACACGGTCAACGCTCGCTTTGCCTCGTCATCCACCATCGAATATGAGGCCATCGCTGCCTTTGGTGCGCACTAGACTCCCATGCTTCTCCTAGCGCACATGTTTAAGGTTGATACCATTGCTAACACTAAAAAACAGGCAAGCTCTTAGCTCAGATTCCTGACTTGATGGTGAAGCAAGCTGAGGCCTGGCTACCGGCCGTCTACACCCGCCTGTTCCACGAGAACCCTGCGTACCTGCCCAATCACTTCATTACCACCATCATCTTCTCTTCCTGCATGTGTTAATTCGTACATTGTTGGGCGACAACACAGCGTGAGGGAGAAGGCCGAGGCGGTCGTCAACATCGCACTGCCGCTGTTGGTGAAGAGTGGCATTGCGCCCGCGATTTCGTCGAAGCTCGTGGGTGATCTGACGGGCGGCATGCTCGAACGGTTCAACCTCTTCTTGGACGAGGAGTCCGCCATTCAGGGCAAGGACAAGCCCTGCCTCGCCATCCGTGTCTGGGGTACACCCTGCGATTCGCTACAGGTTTTCCTTTCGTGTAGCGCTCACCATCACGCACCGCACACGCGCCACCGCACAGGTTATCTGGTGATCCTGCTGCAGAAAGAGTTGTGGAGTAGCGGCCTTATCAAGGCGTTCCTGCAGATCCCATCGGTACATGCTAGACAGCTTGTTTACCTGTCTAGAGTGACCGTCTGACTGAGTCTCGCCTTGTGTGTTGCATGTAGACCACATTCAACCACGCGGACCCCAATGTGCGGATTGTGACGTGGAACGGGTGGAAGAGTCTGATGGACAACTGCATGCACGACATGCAACACCTCTTGCGCCCCAAGTCCAAGCGCACAGACCTCCTGATGAAGCCCTTCCTCAGCAGGTAACTTACCGTCTCTCATACCTCATGAGCAGTCTGTTTCCTCTCGACCGCCATCAGCGATTAATTCATTTCACCCTGCACAGTGTGGAGAGGGAACAGAGTGTCGAGGTCAAGAAAGCGCTGGTGCAGTCGTGGATGCACCTGGTCTCAGGCTTTGGCTCGTCGCTGCCCACCGTCTTTTCGCGGGTGCGACAATCTTGCATGCCATTGTCTTTCGATGAAAGTTTGTTTGTCGCATAATATGCATCCTTTCCTTTCGCAGGTCTTCTTCCCCTTCCTCGAGCTTGTCGCCAAGGTGCCCGAGACGGAGCTCGCCGAGGAAGTGTTTCAATTTGTCGGTACCACATGAGCCGTCTCCTTCTTCTTCAATCTTTGCTCGTTCGTCTCACGCGATCACGCCAGGCAAATTGGTGGCCTTGCCGGATGCGAGCGACAGCAGCGCCGGTACGCCATCAACTACATCTCTTTTCCAGGCCTTCACTCAAATGGGAGTTAATGGGACCGTTGTTTCCTCAGAGCCGCGACCACTTCCGCTCGAGGCCGACTGGGTGGTGGACGACTTTGCCCTTTTTGTTCTCCAAATACTGCCGAGCTGCATCTCGAGGACTTCGGTACCCCGCTCAGCAATAGCGCCGCTGCACAGCGCGTTGTGGCTCAATTCATAAAATTGATTGATTAATTGATTGTGATGTGCAGGACGCGATCTTGGATGTGTGGCAAGGGCTAGTTGCGCGAGTGGCACACCTGCACGCACAGGATCCTGAGAGCAAGGTAGATACTACTACTACATCGGCGCTTGCAAATGCGGTTGATATGTTTGATACATTGATATGTGCGAATATGTTGTCGTTGATATGCAGAGGGTCATAGCGGTTGTATCTCAGGTAGTGCACTTCCTGTCCGACCTCCTCGCCTCAGGGACTGCGCTGTCGGGCGACAAGGACGCACCGCCATTGCCGCTGGGCTACGCCTCGACAGTCCTCACGCGCTTCCTCCGGGCCTTCTCCGCCGTAGCTGCCAACAAGTCGCCACACACGTCGTTCAAGCTCGCACTGTCGCCACACTACGCCCTATCGGACTCGTCGTCTCCCTCGGCGCACGCGTCCACCTCCACCATCCTCGGTACAGCGATATCATTCGTTCCGCACAACTCACTGTTCACTGGCCCATTGTGTGCCTGCTCACACCAATGCTCTTGGCGTAAACAGGAGTTCTGCTGCGCGGACTCTTTTCGAACCCCAACGCCATCAAGGACCAGAAGCAGTTCGGCGACACGCTTCAACTACTGCTCAGCGTCACTCCCGCCAAGGTGAGCCACTCACACACACGACGCACGACACACGGCATACACACACTTTCTTTTACACAGCTTGTTGTTCATTTTTGACTCGCATCGCACCACATATCAGAAAGCGGACCAGGTGAATCCCAACACCTCGCTGCTCACTGCTCTATACGTGCTACAAAGCCTGCTGGAGTCGTCCGTCTCCCGCAAAACCAATCAGAAGGTGTTGATGCTGGGCTGGCTCAGCGTTGGTACGATCCCCTCCCTGTCTATCTACGCCCGACGCCTTTGCTGACATCTGCCCTCTCGCTTCTCGTTCATCGTCGTCTTTACTTTGTATTTACATAAACACAGCGCGGAGCCTGGAGGAGAGGATGGACGAAACCAACTGCGCCGCCGACACGCCGTTTCCGTTTGCCCTCCCCAACAAGCACGATCACAGGACTGTTTACTACACGTACTGCCTCCCGTCGCCGCACACAACATAATAATGACACAACACGACACGCATAACGTATGATGTGACCAACGCATCGTTAATATTCTCTTCTTTCTCGGCAGAGCTCTGCTGTTTCCACTCCGTGCTGCGCTGCAGGGCGATGGGCAGTCCTCGTGGACCGTGCTCGTGGACGGCACCGTGGGCGACATCAAGAAGACCTGGAACTCCTTCTACTCCACGTTTTTCCGGTATGAACCGGAGACACCGCACACGCATGGCACGCGACACACGCGACACACTACTATATGCTCATACGCCCGTGGGTGGGCGCTGCAGGATAAATGCGCTCAAGGATGAGGCCGAGGGGTGTGTGGACCACCTGTGCCACCTCATCATGGAGATCCTGCGGCCCGGGATCCGGTGGAACAACGGCGTGGGCAAGATCATCGAGGCCACTTACACGATGGTCGAGGTGGCCGGGCCCACGCACGCGTTCATCGCCAGCTGCTCGCGGCCGAGGGGAGCCACCAAGAACCGATCGAAGCCCTCGTACGTGTGCCGCTGTGCGTGTCGTGTGTGCGCGGGTGTGCTGTGCGTGTGTCGCACCTGCTCACATTTTTCTTTTCGCGCACATGTGTCAGTGACCCAAGCACGTTGGTGGGGTTGCTGCTGCGCCTGTTCAACGCTATGTCCGTTTACCCCGAGACGCTGGCGCGCCAGGAGGAGTACGAGCACGAGTGGATGAAGGGTATAACCTCCTGTCGTGCTTTCTATTTTTTTATTTATTACACCATTATTATTTTCAACTCCTGTCACTTACTGATTGCGATCGCAGACAAGGACCAGGCGACGAAGCAGCTGATCATGAACGAGTGGCAGCTGTCGTTGTCCTACTTGGCGGACACCATCACCGCCCTGTACAGCAAGGCGCGGGGCAGAGCGGAGGTGCTCTGTCTGGTCTCCACCTTTGGCGAGGGCATCGCCAAGTGGCTCAAGGACAGTCCCGTCCCTCCCGATTCCAGGTACATACGCAGCTCGACACACGCACACGCACGCACGCACGCACGCACGCACGCACGCACGCACGCACGCACGCACCACACTTGCTAAACTTATATGCGGCATACAGTGTTGTTCTCTCCCGAAGCGCCGCGACGAACATGCGCAAGGAGCTGGACAAGCTGTTCGACGTGGTGGCCAAGGCCGTCACTACCAACCACAAGCCGCCCTACGACGACGCCGAGTCCCTGAAGCTCCTGGCCCCGCTGCTCACGGTACGATTGACTGCCACCACTGCGCTTGGCCCAACCCGCTTCAGACCTTGACCCACGGGGGTGTGTTGCCACCAAACAACAGGAGGCCCTGGTGACCAAGAGGAAAGTGTTGAAGAATGCGGCCATTCAGTTCTGGAATGCCACCTGTACGCACACGCACTATATTGCATGACCGCACGCGCACACGCGCACAAGCACACACCGTACATGAAAGCTTTAACAAATTGTTGTGTGCTGGTGTGGTGATTAGTTGGCACGGCGCCATCGCTGACGGTGGTACCGGAGGGTCTGATCGCGGTCCTGGCCAAACTGCAGGGCAAGGTGCCCATCAAGCTCCCGCCCGGCTGGAACGGCGACACCGGTAGCCTCCTCTCCACTCCCAATCTATGTTGTTGACCAGCGAACAACTGCTGACACTGTCGGTGTGTGAAGATGTCACGCCTTCCATGTCGTCGGCCGACATGGCGAGCCTGGTGTTTGCCGACGACGACACGACGCATGTGCCCACCCAAGTCTTCCCAGGTAAGGTCCCTTAATCAACAAATAGAAAGCGATAATATTTTCTTACCGGGTTGAGTGTGGCTCACACGACGCAACGCGAACGCGCCAGGTTTTGATGCGCCGCACAAGTTCCACAAGCCTACTGCGCCCGCGGCGGTGGCGGCGCCGCAGCCGGAGAGCCCCCGTCGCCTCGCCAAGCGGAAGCGAAGCGTCGCGCCCGCTCGTGCGTTCTGCGCCGCCCACGCGCATTGCAAATTGGGGGTTTGCTTTTGGGCCTAACAGCGCTTTCTGGCTGGTTGGTGTGTGCGGATGTGTGCAGCGGTCGAGAGTCAGCAGGACGAAAAGGAGAACGATCGCAAGTACGTGGACACGGTCAACAGGGGCGGGGCGCTGAAGAAGCCCAAGAACGACAAGGACGAGCTGCTCACCGACCATCAGGTACACGTGTGCATCCATCATCACTTTTTTCTGGACGCAAGAACACGACACGACACACCGCACGCACACTCACACTTATTTGCACATGCAGCGCGAGGTGTTGGAGCGGCAGAGGAAGGAGGTCAAGGCCGTCGCGTTCTACAACGGACTGGATCAGTCCTCCCAGGACGGGGCCAATTTCAATCTGTTCGCTGCCGGCTCGCTCTTTACGTCGCCCGCCGATGACGACGACGGCGCACCGGTCTCGGTCGGCGCCAGCAGCAGCAACAACAACAAGTCATCAACAACTACGACGACGTCGACGTCAAAGGTCAAGGCCGAGCAAGCTGCACGCAAGGCCAAGGCCGAGGCCGAGGCCGAGGATGCGGCCAAGCTGCAACGGGAGAAGGAGCTGAGGGAGAAGCGCGAGCGGCTGGAGAAGGAGCGGCGCGAGGTGGAGGAGCTCGAGCAGCGCGAGCGCGAGCGGAGCAACTCGAAGGAGACCGTGCGGCTGCGGCGGCGCGCCTCGCTCAACTGGCGCAAGGAGCAGATTGAGCGACAGGAGAAAGAGGAGGACGACGCGCCAGCGGCCAAGCGCCAGAAGCAGCAAAACGACAACAACGACGACGTCAAGACGAAGAAGGAGAACAAGAAGGAGAAAGAGGAAAAAGAAGAAGAAGAAGAAGCGATGATGGTGATTGAATGCCACGATGACGACGGCCGGCGGCGGCGGCAACCGGAGCTGCGGCAGATGCTGGAGGCGCTGTGCGGGTCGGGGGAGACCGACGGGTTCGAGGCGCAGATGAAGGACGGCGCGGCCGCGCTGCTGGCCGGGTTCGACGTGCGCCAGCTGTTTGCAGTGCAGGACAAGCTCACGCGCCTCCTCTCCGCCACCACCCAACAGCTGCGCACCAAGCTCAGCAACTGAGGGCACGCACCCGCATTTGAACTTTGCTCTGCTGCTGAATCAAAATATTTAGAAAGTATTTTTAAAATTGGTGTATTACCAACAAACCAAACACAAGCAAACCAAGCATGTAGTGACATTTCCAAGTCCTCAATCAGGAGATCATGATACACCAGAATCATTGAAATTTCTCAGAAAAGTCCCAGGTGACTCTGTTAAATTTATTTGCATGTTTTTAAAACAAATTACCACCATGCCAGGCACATTGGCTGCTTCTGTGGCCAAAGAAAACTAAGTACAGTATAGGCAGACATGTGTAGGAAACAAGCAAAGAAGCTTTCCTTTCCTGTGCCCTTTTCTTGGCCCTTTTGCTGGCCCACCAAACTTAGGTTTAGTGACTGACTCACCCACTCTCTGACCAATTTCTGCCAGTTCCCTGAGCCCACCTGGATCTAAGAGGACTTGCCTGGGTGGAGGACAAACATACCACTTAAAATCTAGGCATGTCTCCCCTGTAACACTGCAACAGAGCAAAGAGTAACAAACTAAAACCTTAGAAGTCAATGCCTCTGGGTGAGCGCCAGCACGTGTGGCCCAGCAGTGACACCGAGGTTGACCACGGACAACTGGTGGAACCTAGCGCGGTTGGAGATGTCCAGCAGCAGCACTTGACCGTAGGACGACGACGCCAGGAGTCTGTCACCGCTGTTCATCGGGGTCAGGAGGTGGACCATGCACTGGCTGGGCTCGCCCAACTGGGGCACGATCTGTCGACAGTTGTACGCCTCGGTCACGCTGCCGGTGGTGGGGTCGACCGTGTAGTAGACTCCGGAGAACATGGCGCCCGCGACGGCGATGCCATGCGGGTCGTGTGGAATGAACTTGATGTCCATGATGCCCATGGGCGGGCCAGGCATGACGACCGTGCTGCTGATCTCCCGCCGCTCGAGGTCCCAAAACCTGATGGTCCCGCGCAGCTCGACGCCGCCCGCGTAGGCATTGAGAGTACTCACAGGGTTGACGTAGTCGGAGGTGACCAGCATGTTGAGGTCGAAGTGGGCCGAGACGCCGTGAGGGTTGAAGCCGGGGTCATCCGCAGGCAACGGCTTGCGAGGGTGCTCAGCGACCAATCGAAGGCAACGGTCGAACTCGGCAAGGCGGCCCGGTGCTCCGCCGGTGGCCGAGCCCATCTGGGTGACCAGAAATCCACCGCTGGGCAGCGGCAGGAAGTCGTCAGTTATGCTTGAATGTCTGGCGCGGGTTGAGGATAGGAATCGAGGGCGACGCGGCTCGGAAACATCGAAGAAGAAGATGCCGTCCTGGTCGCTCAGCAGGCTCAGCAGACCGCCACACGCCAGGATGTTGCGGTTCTCCGTGACCAGGCCGCAGTGGTGCGGCTCGTTTCCGATGTTCCCGGGCGGTGGCAGAGGGACCGTGAGCACTACCTTGCCGTAGTCACGGGAGAGCTCATCGAACTCGATGACGGCCAGGAAGTCGGGGCGTAGCCGCGCGTCGTCGCCGGCGAACACGTAGAGCGTAGTCTCGGTGGCATTGTTTGGGACGCGCCAGGGCGTGGCGATGCAGCCCGGTGAGCACTCCTGGTGGAGGACCCGGCTTGATTTGTACTGGTGGAGGTCGGCCGCCACGAGTACTCCTCTGACTGAGCTGCCCTGGAGTAGGTGGACGTCACGCTGGGGGGCCAGCAGCGAACCGCCGAACGGGACGGGACCTTCGACCTCCACCTTCGGCCCTTGGCCGGCCAACGCGACCACTAGCTTGTTGCTAAGATGAGGGAATCCGTCGGCGGGCATCTTGGTCCTGAGGGACTGGGCGCTACCGTCCTGGTCGATCACCACCACCAACTCCTGGTCTTCCGCGACGTAGGCCTTGGTGAAGTAGTGCGCCGAGTTCCACTGCTCCAAGGGCACGCTGAACACCAGACGTCTGGTGCCTTGCGCCCAGCGAGGACCGGTGAAGTGGAGCCCGCCGTGCAGCAGGGTCACTGAGCCGGCGCCGGTGGCCTGGGCGTCGCTGGCCATGTCGCTGGTGAAGCCGTCAAAGTAGGAGAAGGCATCGTCGAAGAACGAAATCAAGCAGTTGGAGGCAACGTCGCAGCCGCCCACGGTCTGTCGTTGGAGGGACTTGCCCAAGTCCAGCTGCATGGCTCCCTCGTTGGTAGAGGTTACCAGCAAGCCGCCGCCGCTCACGCTGCCCGAGCGCCACGTCACCGACTCTCCGCCTATCACCACCGAGTAGCGCTGCTGGCGCACGTTGCGCGCACCGCCGATGCTGAAGGTCCCGGAGATCGACACATTGTGTTGGACTGCCAGACGGCCTCTGATGCTGGAGCCACCACCTGTCGCTTTGAAGTTGCCGAACGAGATCAGGTTGAAGTCTGAAAATCTAGAAGAAATGAGAGGGTATTAGATTTTATGGTTTACATTGAGTTTTATATCGAGACTTAGTAGCAACGTGTGCATGGATTCACGAGGGTACCTGTAGCCATCGAGTGGACCATCAAAGACGGTTGGTGAGCCATCGGATAGTTCCAGTGGACAGGTTTTGGCAGGTTTGACCGTTCGTTGCCCGTTGGTGGCAGAGAGCGCCCACAGGCAACAACAGATTACGAGAGTGAGCCAGCGCTTACCCATAGCGGCCTCGCCTACTCTTTCTCAATCCTCAAGTGCCGGAGCTTGGAGATGAGGGGATTATCACTCCCTCGGCGTCAGCTGAAAACACATGATATTTCATTGGGTGTATAGCATCATCCTGTACACATCACCTCCTCCTATCTCTAACCTCACCCTCTCCCATCCCCTCCCTGGCTGCCTGGTGCCCGCGATGCCGAATGCTCCGGCAGAGAATGCCAGAGAGCGGTGCCGATGGTGGACCCTGCGCACACAAACAACGACACGGGCGGGCGGGCGGGACCTGACGCTCAGAGAAAGAAAAAACATGCTGAACACGTCCCTCCACCAGCGTTTTGTCGCCCTCGTCAATTGCCACTCCTGTCAATTGACAGCGACAAACGCACCACGGCACGCACTCCGTGCCGCTCCCGGAAATATCCTGATATTTCCGCTGCGCCCACCGCTCGTGATAATGCAAGTTACTGCTGCGCAGTAACTGCTCATTTGCGGTTGAGGCTGTTCTTGAACACTTCGAAAAAATAACCTTATTAAGATCTTGCACGGAACTTAGCTGTTAACCTTTTTAATCATCACCTCTGGGCGGTGGCAGGTGCACACCAACGTGCGGGCACTCGCCGGCGAGCTTCTCCTTGACGTAGGCGTACAGCGCTGTGAGTGATCGCGATCTAGTAAAAGGTACTTGGATGACATCTTCCTCTTCCGCAGCACGAGCAGCAAACTCCTCGGGCATCTTCTTAGCTGGAAGGCGCACAGGCGTGAGCCCTCCATGATCCCTCCCTCTCCTATGCGTGCGGTGCCGTACCAATTTCCTCGTAGGTCATGCCATCGCACTTGCCTGCATCGATTTCGTCCAAGCAACGCAGTTGGATCTTGCGCTGTGGCAGGTACTATAGTACAGTTACAACATGCCCTATTGTAAGAAGGCCGCTGGCTTACGACTATACACGCACGCACGCACGCACACGCGCACACACAGTGGAGAAGCCAAGTACCTGTGAAGTGGCGATGGCTCGCTGGAGGGTGGAGGTCCACACAGTGAGCTTCATGAGATTGTCCTCGGCCCCGTTGTACGAAACGGTCTTCTCCATAGTGCTCTTCTTCTTGCCTTCAGCCTTGGCCTCGAAGATACGCTGGTTGACCCAGGACGAGAGCGCCTGGGCGTACCTCTCGAGATCTACATGAATGCATACAAACACCCTGCCAGCTCTCATGACTCTCGTGAGAAGCTAGGCGCAAAGCAGCGCCCGAGTTCTTCGACCCCACCAACCCTGACGGCAGCACTCAGCGCCTGCACATGGTACCATGGTACCATGCGCTTTCTTTGCCTCTTTGCATTACTTGGTGTGTGTGTTGTGTGTGTTGTGTGTGTGTGTGTGTGTGAGTGTGTGTGTTGTGTGTGTGTTGTGTGTGTGTGTGTGTGTGACGTCTAGTCATTCCACCCCATCCCTCTTCTTCTCTTCGTTTGAGGCTAGGCGGTGCTCGTGCTGGACGACATGTTTGAGTGGCTGCGCAAGGGTGGTTGCGTGGGCATCTACGACGCCACCAACTCTACCAAGTCGAGGCGGCAGCTTATCATGTCGTGTTAGCTTCATTAAGAGCAATTGCAAGGATCCAGGTTCGTTCCTTCTTGAGGACTTTCAGTTATTGGAAACGGTCAAGGTAACATCGCCTCTGTTGTCGATCCTCGCGCGGTTGTGTCTATCAACCCCCCAACTCACGCGCGTTCCATCTGACAAACATTGTTTGGACAGCTTCATCACGATGTTCGACGTGGGAAAGAAGATCTGCCGTCTTCCTACATGAACCTCCACATTATCCCCCATCCCATCTTCCTGGTACGCGTTGCCTCTGCTCTCTTCTCTCTTTGCTGCCGCCTTAGGCTCACGTGTAATTTGCGCGGCGTGTGCGCTGTACGCCCCCCGTAGCCAAGGCACAGGCAGAGCATGGACTACACGGAGGACAAGATCGGCGGCGACTCCAAGCTCACGCCATCAGGCATCTGGAGTACATCAGGCACAACAATGACAACAACAGGTGCAAGTCCTTAGGTGTGATGATGCCAATGAGAAGCTAAAGAGGAGAAACAAACCATCCTTTGGTGTGTGCCAAACAAGCATGTTGGACACCTTGATATTGTGGCACACCAAGCTGGTGTATGCAGGCAAGAGTCTGGTTGTGTGATTTTTGAAGTGTGCTTTAGGTCAAAATAGCAAGTTGTCAACCAATGACCAGCCTTCAATGCTCAACAGCCCCACCAGCACCAGTGGAGACCACCATCAAGGTACTTGCACCACTGCTCTGAGGACTGTGCCACCTCCCCTGGTCAGGTTGCCTGAGGGGGAACACTGCTGCTGCTCAACCTGACTCACCTCAAAGGTGAGGACTTCACTCTGGGTGATACTACTCATGGTGGCAATGATGACTGCAACAATGAGCCACTCTTTCTGGAGTTTGACAACAGTCTGACAGGTCATTGTTGCAAACCAAACAACAATGTCACCCTCCAGGCTGCCTGTGGAATCAATACAAGAGGGATGGGTGGGGAAAGGAAGAAAGTTGATTTTAATGGTAACAGGGCCTTCCACTGAGATTCACTGGACATGCAATCCATACACTGCTCCATACACTGGGTGGGCATGAAAAGGGGACAGTGACTCTTTTTTGCAAGCCAACATCTCTTTCCAACTGGGTGCTTGACAAATGACTGGACCTCTTACTTCAAATGAGTGCAAGTTGGGGAACCCAGACCTGAACTGACTGGACAATGGTGGCTGAAGGTCTGGAATGCTTCATATCTCTTCTTTCTCTTATCCTCTTCTCAAACTCTGAGCTGATGGATGTGGCTAACATGCAAATGGTGCTGAGGAAGAGAAGCTGCAACCAAATGATGCCTGAGGGTCAGGACTTAATGTCACTTGACTACCTCAATACATTACAAAACAACCTTAATGCTAAAGCCCTACAGACCATTACATCACTCTACCCTTGCCTTGGCATCATTGTGGCCTAACTACTTATTTCCCACTTCCCCAGAGTGGTTCTGGACCAGATGTCAGCATTCCAGGCTGCTGAGGTGGCAGTGAGAGATGCCAGCTGCTGCCTCCATTATTAGCCAGATGAACTGCATTGCATCTGGAAACTCATCTGCCTTGCTGCTTCTCTTCCTCCATCTCTTTCTTTTCTTCCTCTTCCTCTTTCTCTTCCTCTCCATCACTGCTCAGCCTGTGGCTGTGCTTCTTGGTTTGAAGATGGACAAATCAGGAGCTGTGATGTTGAGCAAATCTGGGTGGTCTTGTGAAATGTGATATCTGGAATACTGAGGTTGAGTTTCAGAAATCTCAGTACAGTTCATCGTCCTGTTGCTGGGGCAGAACTTGCCCTTTCATGGGACACTTCGTCGCGCCAAAACAGCAAGGGAGGGTGTGGGCACAGAGAAACAAAAAGAAATTTGTTGGCCACAAAAAGAATAAAACAGTAACTGTTTGCGCAGGGGTGAGTGCGCTGCCATGGATTTGTCGCTCGAGCGGGCGCTCAAGATCCTCGAGACGCCCACGGCTGCGGCCCCTGAGACGGTCGAGTTCCGCGAGAGCAGGATCAAGAGCTGCCGACTCATCGCCGCCCATCTGTGCAACCTTGCCCTTCGGTATCAATTCATTCATTATTTTTTAAATTCTAATTTCTTATGCTATTACTATTTACTGTTGCTCGTGTTACGCATTTGCTACATTATTATTTTTATATAACAATATTCGTGTGTGTGGCTTTGTAGGGCGAATACCGACTTTGCAGCGCAGCTGTCGCGTGGCATCGCTGCCCTCCTGCACACATGCGGCGACAAGGACATGTCCGTGTGGACGGTCGCTGACGAGACCCTCAACAAGGTCATCAAGGTAAGGAAGGCTCTCTTTCGTCCACGTGCAGTGAGCGGCTGACAAATCAGTTCCCTGCCACTCACGCCCTCGTAACCACTGCTGCCAGACCCTGATCGCCTCCTTCCAAGACCGAGTTCTGATTGCGCTCTACAAAGGCATCAAAGTAAGTGTTCTGCGTGCGCGGTCGTGCGTGTGGTGAGGCCTCTATAACTCAAGGTGTTTGCCTCTGCGCGCAGAGCTCGGAGAGCACGCGGGCACGACGATCGGCGCTGCTCAAGTTCTCCGAAGTCTGCGATCACATCCACCCCACCAAGTGCAGAAAATATGTGTCCTCGCTTCTCAACGTGATCCAGGACATCATCGAACGGGTACACCTCAGCATATTAATATTAATAATATTACATTATATTATTATATTTTCTTTGATTCTATTTGTTTGATGTTTGGTTTTTTAATGCTGATTGGCTTGTTCGATTACGACAGGGCGATGAGTTGATCCAGCAGACGCTGAGCGACTCGATGGACAAGCTCTGCTGCACGCTGGTCTACTATCTGCGCGAGAAGGAGGTCAACAACATCATCGAACTCCTGGTCCGCAACCTCGCCGACGTGTCTGGTACGCATCACGCGCGCGCGTGTGCCAGCCGCACACATTTCTTCATGAACACGATTCATCTTCCCCGTTTGTATCGTGTGCGTCGTGTGTGGCCTCTTCTTACACCGCACGTCAACCACGCAGGAGCGATTCGGCGCGCATCGGCGGCTTCGATTGTGGTCATCTGCCGCCACTACCCTAAGTCGCCGTTCGACTTTGCCATCTACACCATTCGCAAGCAGCTCCAGTCCTACATCATCCCCGCAACCAAACCCGACCATCAGGTACGACACGACACGACACGACACGACACGACACGACACGACACGACACGACACGACACGACACGACACGACACATCAAACGCTTTTTTTGTGGTAGCTCACGTGTGCGATAACATTTGTTAAGGTGTCGACGCCCGTGGGCTCGCCCAAGGTGGCGCGCGCTGCGCCGGCGATCACGTCGCCGCGCAAGGATTCGGCGGTGCAGAATCGGGCGATGTCGTTCATGGACGACAAGGACAACAAGGACGACGACGACATCAACATGGACGAAGAGGAAAAGGACGGCGCCGACAACTCCCGCAAGGAGCACGAGAAGGAGGACGAAAAGGCTTCAAACGAAGGTAGTTGTATTTTATTCTTATTAGTTATTATTTATTATTATAACTATTTAAAGTTTTAAACTGAAATTGATATGCGCGCAGTGAAACAGCCGATATCGGAGGCCAACCTGTACGGCATCCTGTACTGCCTGCTGCAGCTGCTCAACCTCTCCGAAGAGTGGAAGAGCCGAGTCGTGGATCCGCGCAACCCCATTCTCCCGCATGTGCCCTTCCTACACGACCTGGCCTCCAAATGGTACCGCATCTCCCGTGTGTGTCGTGTGTGTGAGTGTGGTGTGTGTGTGTGTGTCGTGTGTGGTATGTGTGTCGTGTGTGCGTGTGTGTGTCGTGTGTGGTATGTGTGTCGTGTGTGCGTTTGCGCTGTGTTGACTCGAGCTGGTGTTTAGTATGGTCCATTACGACCAGAACGTGATGGGCATCGCGTTGGAGCTCCTCCAGGCCATTCTGGCAGCCTCGCACAGTCCCTCGCGCAATGCCGTTCTCAACTCGCAGCTCGTATCTCCCACGACCGGTACCCTCCTCTCTCTCTCTCTCTCTTTTTCTCTCTCTCTCTCTCTCTTCATGTGCGTGTCGTGCTAGTGTGTTGTGTGTGCGGTGTGTGTCGTGCTGTTTTACACTACTCACCTGTGTGGCTTTAAATGACAGTGCCTGAGATCCTGGGCCGACTTACGTGGATCCTCAACCGCAAGCCTCCCGTTCGAGTGGCCTCGCGCGCGGTGGTGCTCCAGTGCCTGTCGTTCCTGGCCCTCCACTACACCCAGACCTTCTGCGACTACTTCCGGCTCACCGACGGCGCCGAGGCCGCCACCGCCGTCGATGATCTCTCCAAGGGCGACGCCGCGGCGGCACCGGCCGATGAAGCCGAGGCTGCAGCTGACAACGGCGGCAGCGGCGTCGCGCAGACCACCTACGCGCAGAACCAGCACACGATGAAGGAGCTGCTGCAGCTGGTGACCTTCTCCGATCCGCTGATCCGCGGCAGCCTCGCCCACATCATCGCCTGCTTCATCGCTGGCATTCTTCGCAATCCGCACACCACGGCGACACCCGCACAAGCGACGGCGGCAACGAGTCCGGGCGCGGAGGAGTCGGTGCCGGTGCCGGTGCTTGCCCTCGAGGTGATCGACGTGCAGTCGCTCATCGTTGACTACCTGCTCCGGCTGCTGCTCGACGAGTCCGCCAACGTGCGCAAAATGGTGTGTCGCGCGCTCATCACGTGCTTCGACGACATCCTCGCCTCGGCGTATGCGCGCTGCGCAATCACGATCCTCTACACCCTCATCGACAGCATCCGTGAGGACACCTATTGGCTCGTCAAGACCGAGGTAATCAACTAAACCACACGCGCACGCGCACGCGCACGCACACGCACACGCACACGCACACAACCAAATTGAACGGTTTGTGTTGCGTGTGTAGGCGCTGGCCTTTGTGGCGAGTGTGGACTACTGCGCGCTTCAGGTGGTCGAGCGAGACCTGGCCACGGAAAACCGGGTCTTCGTCTACACTCGCGAGGAGACGTCGTTCCAGCGGCGCTGCCTCAACATGGTCCTCGACCTACTCGCCAGCCCCGACGCTCGCGTGCGCCAGGTACATTCCCTACATTCCATTATTGGATTATTTTCTAATCATTCTAATTTTTTTATAAAAAACCTTATCGCGTCTCAAGGCTGCGGCTGAGGCTGTGGTGACGCTCGTGGAGAGGCTTCAGTTGTACTCGCCCGCCGGGCCTACGCACCCCTACGCTGCGCTCATCGAACGCCACATTCGCCACCTGTGCACCGTCCACTCCATCAAGAAGGTGCACACCACCACCACGCCTGCGTTGTGTGTGTGTGTGTGTGTGTCGCGTGCGGCCATGTGCGATCGCTGATGCCCCGTTTTTTTGGCGCACGCGTGTACAGTTCGCGATTCGGAGGGACGTGCTGCATAATTTGTCGCAGGTGGCGCAGCTCCTGTTGGAGCGGGTGAACGCGCTGGTGCCGGAGGACGGCGTGCGAGGAATCTACCACGCGCTGCTGCTCCTCTGCAAGGCCTACGCCAAGCCTCACACCTACTTGACCCACGCCCACAGTACTCTCCTCCAGTCCCTGTCTCGTGTGAATGTCACCACACCATTTTTTTCCTTTTTTTCCTTTTCTTTCTTTTCTAACTTTATTAATTTTTTTCTAACAGCTGAGGGGATGAAGAACTTTGATGCGCTGCCCAACCCGATGGCCATCTACTTTGGCGACTTCGTCCCGCTGATCGTCGAACGGCTCACGTCGTCATGGGCTGCCACTGATCTCGACGTACACATCGACCTCGTCCAGGTACACACTCACCCGACGCTCTACGCAGCCGCTATGAAGTACTCACTGGCCAACAACAACAACGACCACCACCACCACCACCACCACCACCACCACCACCACCACCACCACCACCACCACCACCACCAGATCATCGGCTACATGTGCAAGAAATCGGAGCGACATCACCTCACCTCGCAGTGGCTGCGCATCCTGCAACACCTGCTCGCGGTGATCACCCTCCTCAGCCACATCGCCCAGCGCAAGCCGGCACCCCAGTCCAGACCCGAAACTGCCTCGGGCTTTGCCATGATCGCCGACCTCGCCGGTGCGCACATATTTGTATTATTACTATTACTATTATTACTATTTATGTCTTATTAATTTTCTTACTATTCTTATTCCTTATTCTTATTATATGGCCGAATTGTTTGGTCTGGTATGCGCAGCATCGCCGGCGACCAAGGGCGCAGTGCTGGGAACGGCCGCGACCCAGGGCGTCTACACCGAACTCTACGAAAAGCTGCACAGCACCTTCTCCACCTCCCTGATCTCCTTCGAGCAGGACAAGTTCTCCCTCCTCCGCAAGTCCTGCTTCAAGGTTCGCTCGAGCCCCCTGTTTCACCCTCGGGGTTGTTGGATTCTTGGCCTCTTCATTCCACTGTCTCACACGCTTCCGATCTGATGGTGGCGGCGCAGGCGATGGCCATGCTGATCAGGAACGTGGGACGCTACGTGGTGCCCTTCGCCCAGGAAATCCTCAACCACCTTAACGTCCACTTCTTCCTCTCCCCGAAGGTACTTCTCACTCCCGTACGCGCCTTGTATGTGTTGTGTGTGTGTGGGTGTGTGTGGGTGTGTGTGTGTGTCGGGCGTCGATCACCAATTCATTGGTGACCGCCCGGCATACAGGAGGTGATGTCGTGCTTGTTGGAGCTGTTCATGGTCACGTTCCACCCCGTGCAACCGTCCAAGGCCCAAGTCCAACGCGTCTTCCACGACGCCAACTACAAATCCCACCAGGCCATCGTCCACCCGCACAGTACACACCACCAGCTTTATTTACACTTTAAATAACAATAACAATAACAATAACAATAACAATAACAATAACAATAAATAAATAATAAATCATTATTCTTGTTGCAGACTTGGGTGTCTACGAGCAGCTGTACCAGGGCTTCGATGAGGAAGCGGCGATGGCGGCCTCGCTGCAGGACGCCTCCAAGGTTCCGTCCCTGCGGCCTTCCCTCCTGTCGCACCCCTATCGACTCCGCGAGACCCAGTCGGAGGACTTCTACAGCAAGGTGGACCTCCCCATTCCCCTGATCGAGGCCGACAAAATCATCCGGTAACCCGCCCATCAGCTGCACATGCACCACCGCATACACCACCGCGCACACCACCGCACCACCGCACCACCGCACACGCGCACGACTGCGCGCAGCTCACTTTATGGTGTTGGGGGGCGAATGACGACAGGAGCGGCAAGTCGCTGATCCGCATGTTCGAGCCGCTGGTGATCGGCGCCATGAAGCTGTACAGAGACACGCACGATCTCGGCCTGCAGAAACAGGTCCTCTTCGTCATGACGCAGCTCATCAAGTTCGGGGTATCATTCTTCGCCCACTGTGCGTCTGTGTGTGTGCTGTGGTGCGTGTGCGGTTGTGCGCGTGCGCGTGTGCGTGTGCGTGTGTGCTCGTGACTCACGATGCTGTGCGACCGCGACCAGATTGACTTTTCGCGGCTCGACAAGGACCAGTCGTTCCTGGGTCACGTCATCAATCAAATCATGGGCAAGAAGTCCTACCTCCCGCACCCGCCGCACATCCTGCCCTACATATTCGACTTCCTCTCCGTGCTCGCCATCATCCGCAAACACCTGCCCGGGGTTCGTATCGCAGCTGCCCCTTTTCCGTGACGTGAGTGTGTGTCGTGTCGTGTCTGTGTCGTGTCTGTCGTGTATCGTGCGTGTGCCGTGTGTATGCGTCGTGTGATCTGACACAGCTTTCCTTTTGATGTGTGACACGGCAGACGCTTTCAAATGACCGTCTCCTGCGGCTGACGTCGTGCGTCTTCAGCTCGCCGTACTGGGCGAGCTCTGGCACGTTGCTGCCCACTATCGCCAGGTAAGCACGCACGCACGCACGCACGCACTCCAAGCTTCTGACGCGCTCGCGCGTGTGTGTGTGTGTGTGTGTGTGCATTCCTCGCATTTTTGTGTTTGGATAGCCTGCTGCGGGAGCTGTTCAGTTCGCAGACGACGACCAAGTGGACCGAGGAGGACTGCGAGAAGGAGCTCACGGAACTGCGCGAGGAATTTCTGGCACGCATCCTCAAGCGGGCCAACCTGAGCCACGGCATCGGGCTTCTGTCGATCATACTCTTCAAGAGCCGCTACCGCGTCGAAGAGTGCAAGGGGTAAATAGCTCTTCCAGTCCCCCACTCGAGCGTCTGTGTGGTGTGTGTGTGTGTGTGCCGTGTGTGCCATGTGTGTGCCATGTGTGTGCCATGTGTGTGCTGAGCAAGTGCGTCTAGGTATGCGCTCAAGATCGGACAGACCCTCTTCCCTCTGTTGGCCTCCGCGTCGCTCGCGGCCAACATTGCCACCAACGACTATGTACACCTGACCCCACCTTAGGTCCCCTCCCCTCAGGGACAACCACAACTACACGAACTCACTGGCAAATCGTGACCACACACACGAACACAGGAATTGCTGGAGCTCTACGCCCTGTTCGACAAGGTCGTGGAGAAGCACAGCGAATCGGAGAAGACGAAGAAAGAAACCACCGACTCGCTTTGCGAAGGCTTCGTGCAATTGGTACGCACGCACACCAACGCACACGCCACACGCCACACGCCACACGCCACACGCCACACGCCACACGCCACACGCCACACGCCACACGCCACACGCCACACGCCACACGCCACACGCCACACGCCACACGCCACACGCCACACGCCACACGCCACACGCAAACGAACACGATTGAACGCGTGCCTTTCTGCAGCTGAAGGAGGTCGAATCGCGGCCGGAGGAGACGCCCCAGTTCGGCGAAGGCAAGCTCCTATCGGCACGCGACCTCGAGCAGTCCATCAAATCCGTGACCGGCCCCTATTGGTTGCCGCCGGCCCTTGTGGTATGCGTCCGCCGCGTGTCGTGTGTCGTGTGTCGTGTTCTCACACTATGACGACTGCGTGCGTGTGTGCCTGCGGTAGTATTTGCGCTTCCTGGGCATGCGGAGCGAAGAGGAAATCCTGCCGGCCCTGGCTAAGCTCGACGACGACCCAGCGAGCTCAAGCCCCGGCGAGGATGTCTTCGTCCGTCGCATGATGGAGCTCGTCCTCATCGCCCTCCGTGCGTCCACCACACGACACGACACGACACGACACGACACGCACGACACGATACGCACGACACGATACGCACGACACGCACGACACGACACTGATTGTGAGGACTGTAGAGGACACGATGAAGCGAGAGCATGCGTCGGCGTTCAGTGTCGAGCTCTACGCGCATCTGGTGACCCACCTGATCGCCCTCGCCTCGCCCGCGCGCTTTCCGCGCATACACGCGGCCATGCGCGGGCTGTGGACGGACGCCGCCACCGACTTTGCCCACGCGAGGCTCTTCCCGCTCCTCTTCAGCGGACCCCTCGCCTACGGCCGCGAAGTGGCCTGCGTGTGCCTCTCGCGGTACCGCACACCACTCCACCGTCACTCCACCCCCAGTTACTCCTCACCTAAACCGCACACACGGCACGACACGACACGACACGACACGACACGCACAGACTTTTCCATTGTTTGGATCTGCCGGAGTTGTCGCTGGCGATGCTCAAGTTCGCGCGCTCGTCGCGCACGGCCGCTGGTCGTGGCAAGCTGGGCTGGCGGGCGCGCGTGGTGGAGCTCACGGCGCTCGTGGGCTACCTCGCCACATTCTTGGACGCGAGCGCCAGCCACGCCTGGTCGGGACTCACCTGGAGCGAAGACCTCGGCCAGTTGCTCATGTACACACACACACACACACACGCACGACACGACACACGACACACGACACACGACACGACATACGTGCTCACGCATGTGTCACGATTGCAGAGAGCACACGAACGAGCCGACGGTGAAGAAGTTCGTGGCGTTGGTGGGCAGCGCCCTGTCGTCGCCGTCCATGTACGCCACGGCCTCGGGCCGGTTCGCCTTCCAGCTGCTCGGCAGCCTGCGCAGCCGACTGCTCGGGAGCGGCAGCGCAGCCGGTCGCCAGGAGCAGGACTTCAAGAACCTCCTCGCCGCTCTCGGCAGCTTGCCGCCGTCCATGGCCACTGTCGGGGTACTCGCGCTCGCCCGTGTCGTGCGTGCGTGTGCGGTGGTGTGTGTGTCGTGTGACGTACAAAAACAGTTGAGTTTGGCTGACACGTTGGCGGCGGGCTGTGGACCACAGGTCCTGTTGCGCGTGCTGAAGCGTCGCGGTCGGTCCCTGTTCGCCGAGCGGCTGCTCTTGGCTCAACTGACGTCGGAGATCTCCTACGTGCTCTCCAGCACCCGCATCTACTTCATTCTCCAAGGTACACAAGTCGTGCTAACGTCTGCGCAATCGCAACCGCAACCGCACGACACGCACGACACACAACGCACACGGCACACACCGCACATGTTGCCTGATCGATCCACTGCGACGCAACGTGCAGGCATTGACGGTCAGCCCCAGCGCGAGGCCAAGCTGCGGCGACAGGTCACCAAGGCTCGCCGGCGGTTCGACGCCCTGGGCTTCCCCGAGACCGCGCCACTAACGGTGGCCTTTGGCCGCTTCGTCGCCGCAGCGCTCGAGCTGCTGCCCAGCGGCGACAGCGACAATGCGGCCGACGCCGACGCTGACGTAACGATCGGCTTCTCGGCGCGCCAGCAGCGGGAGCGCGACAACACGGCCGACGTCCGACAGCGCCTGCACGGCGACAACTGGAAGCAGCTGATCGTCGAGTTCGCAATGGAGCGCTGTACTGCGGCGGTCAACGGCGAGGCCGGCGAGGCCGACGTGGCGACGGCGGACCACCTGGCGTCGGGCCTCAAGGCCATCTACTACGCCGACAAGCCGGCATTCCTCGCATTGCTCAGGCGCACGACGCCGAAGCTGCAGTCCACACACAGCGACGCCGACGGCGCCGAGGAAGAGCCGGCGTGCGACCTGGGTCTGCTGGCGCACCTGGTGCTGACGTCGAAGCCGATCATGCGCGACGCCAGCGTGCGCAAGGCCGTCATCGCCCTCATCACGGCCCACATCAAGTCCGTCATCGCCGCCGACGCCGCCGACGCCCCTGAGCCGGCGTGGCACGACTTTGTGCAGGTGGTCAGGTCCGTGGTGTGCGTCCTTCAGTGCGACGGCCGCCCATCGCGCAGCGTCGTGGCGGCTGCCATGTCATCGTCGTCGTCGGCCACGTCAGCAGCAACGGGACCCGCGGGAACGTCGTCGCCCAACGGCTCGTCCGCATCGCTGCTGACGTCATCATCGGCCGCGCTGCTGGCCCACGTGGCCTCGCTGTCCGAGGCCCTCTACCAGCACCTCACCGAGCTCGACATGGTCCGCTTCTGCGGCTACGCCCTGCGCCGCTATCTCGATAGAATTATGTCGACGCGGCAGCCCCGCCCCCCGCCGCCGGGCAAGACGGCGGCGTCGGAGGACGACCTGGTGGTGGTGCTCAAGTGCACCGAGCTCGTCATCGCCATCAGCCAGCGCGAGACCCTGACCGAGTGGCAGTCCGACGATGAGAAGGCCACCTGGGAGCACATGTTCGCCAGCATCCTCCAGGTCTCTGCCTGACACCACACACGACACCGCACAACACGACACACGACACACGACACCACGACACCACGACACCACGACACACGACACACGACACGCACATGCACATAACTGACATTCCGCGATGCCGACAGGTGCAAGAGCTGATTTCGGGCAAGTCGGTGAGTGTGGCGGCCGACGAAGAGTGGCACGACGGCGAGCGGCGGCGCGCGGAGATCAAGATGGAGCGGGTGATGGAGCTGCTGCTGTCGGAGGCCGACAACAAGCGGTTCGCCTACCTCCACGACACGTGCGCCGACAACCCGGTGGTCAACGCCTACTGCGACCTCGTCACCGCCCTCGCCCGCAAGGACGTCCAACTCATCTACCCACAGATCGTCGAAGGCGGTACGCGCGCGTGTCGTGTCGTGTCGTGTGTGTCATGTGTGCGTGGTGTGCGGTGATGACACGCGCAGGTGCCGGCGGCACGAGTGGCGGGTGGTGCGAGCGGGCGTGGCGCACGGGGCCAATGCCGTGCGTGTTTTCTGATGTGTGTGTTGGGTGTGTTGTGGTGTGCGCACACAGCCTATTTGGAGTACGACCTGCTGCAGAACATCAACAACATGCACGACAGCAGCCGGCAGAAGTTCGATGAGAATCCGGAGAAGATTCTGGCCATCACGCTGCGCCTGCTCAACGCCGTCACCTGGGACCACAACTCGCAGTTCACCAAACTCTGGTGCGACCTCCCTGCGCGTGGGTGCGTTCTGGCGCGCTCGGTGCTGACTCGGCGCGGTGTGTGCGGTGGTGTCGCGTGTGCGATTCGAAAGGGCCAACCTGCTGGCAATGTTCGACGTCAACAAGGTCAACGAGGAGTGGTGCAGTCTGAAGACGCAGTCCCTGCTGGCTCGTTCCCTGACGTCACTCCTCATGCGATCCTGCCTCGGCATCGCCACCTTGCCCGTACAGGACACGACACACAACACACGACCGCACACGCACGACACACACAACACTCACCACCACACGCACGCACACACACACAGGAGACGACGACTTCGCCAACGCCGCTGAGCGGGTGGTACTACTGGCGCTCGGTGGGCACGATGGCGTGGGACGCCTACTCGCTGGTCCACGTGCCGCGCGAGCGCGAGCTGATCTACCTCAACAGCGAGAACGGCCGCACGCTGGTGAGCCTGCAGAGCGCGCTGGCCGCGGCCGTGTCGAAGCTGCACTCGCCCAGCGCCGCGTCGCTCGACTCGTGGCAGTTCCCGACGCCGCCCTCGGCCAACACGGCCCTGCAGAGCAGCAGCCTCGTCCAGCTCTCGCCCTACCACCAGAACATCGAGCGCATCGGCTGGTACACACTATTTTCTTTTTACTTTTCTCGATTTGCTTCTTCTTCTTTTGTGCTCACGCACGGGCTGTTGGCTGGGCCTCTTGCCAGGCCTTCGCTGCGCTACTACGCCGGGCAAGTGTCGGTCCACGAGCTGCGACAGAACAGACAATACAAGTGGCAGGTGCGTGTGCGGTGTGTGCGGTGTGTGCGGTGTGCGTGTGCGTTTTGAGGGGCGGCCACTGAAGGTGCGTGGGTGGTCGATGAATGAATGTAGGGCATCGACATGACCAACCTGGTGGACGTGCTGCTGCGGTCGTTCGAGAAGAGGCTCGCCTCGGAGCCCGGATCCATGATGGCCGCCGAGGCGATGCGCGGCATCCTCATCCTCTCCGACCTCTTCCGCACCGACCAATGGCGCTGGATGTGCCAACTCTTCATTCGCATGCTCGAGGAGGTAACCGCACACGCACCACCGCACACGCACGACACGACACGACCGCACACACGCACACTCACCACCGCACGCACGTTATTCATTTTTGGTTGTGTGACGGTCAGGACCAAGTGGACGACCAGGTGCAGCACTACTACCTGCTGGCGGGTATTGCGAGGGCGCTGGCGGTGAGCGAGCGCGACTGCCTGGGCCTGGTGACGCCCATGTGGGTGACCAACACGTTCCGCCACGCGCTCGAGAGCGCCCACCAGTCCGCGCGGCTCGCCGCGCTCAACGCCCTGCTCACACTCATCGAAGGCAATCTCACTCGCGTACGCGATCACCTTTCTCCGTATGCGGTCGGGCCTCAATTGCGCTAACAGGACGACACACACACACACACACACAGGTGTTGCTGCCGCTACTGCCATACTTCTTCAAGACGATCCTCGCGGCCCTCTGCGAAGAAGGTACGTGTGTGCGGGTGCGCGTGTGCGTGTGTGCGGTCACGTGTGCGGTTTGGACGCAGCTGTGTCTCACGTGGTGCGGCTCGTCTCTCTCTCTCTCTCTCGTGACCAGGCGGCGGGCAGTGGCTGGGAACGGCGCGGGAGCAGGCGCACCTGATCGGGGTGGCGTTCCTGCTGATCGAGCAGTACCCCAAGGAGTCCGAGGAGCAGGACTTCACCCGCCGCGCGCTCGCCCAGATGATCAAGACCGGCGAAAACTCGGACGACAAAATGGTACGCGCCCACTGCAGGCTCATCACCCTCGCGCGACTCTCCGTCTGACGCAACACACCGCACACGCACCAACGACACGACACGACACGACACGACACGACACGACACGCACCACAGATGTTGAGCGCGATATTTAGGGGCTTTGATCGTCTGTTGATCTCCTTCTCCCTGTCACACACGCACCGCAAACGCCTCGCCAAGTTTGCCATGAGTACGTGTGTGTCGTGCGTGCCGTGCGTGCGTGTGTTGCGTGTGTGCGTGTGTGCCTGCGTGTGTGTCGTGCGTGTGTCATGGATGCGTGCTCATGAGCCTGTGCGTTGGGTGGGGGGCGTAACGCAGGCAAGATCCACTCGTTCGTGGGGCAGGGCGACGGTGAGCTGTTCCTGTATTCGCTGGGCCTCATGCTGACCGTCATGTACACCGAGCGCGACAGCAAGCCCTCCAAGCCCCACCCCGCCACCTCGCCCACCGACCGTGAGAGGTACCCTTTATTTATTCATTCATTTATTCATTTATTCTAATATATTATAATAATGATAAATGGAATTGTTGGCTTTTAACTATTTATTAATTTATTATTATCATTGTCCAGCCGAAATGAGGTGAGGAACATCGAGCGGGTGACCATCCTCTTCTCCAAGCTGCCCAGCTCGTCTTCCTTCGAGACGCAGGCCGTCATCAAGTACGCACGCAAACACACACACACAGCACACAGCACACACACACACGGCACACACACACACACACATCAACAAGAAGCGAGCTGATATGGGTGTGTTTGGGTGACGGTGATGTAGGGTGCTGCCGCGAGTGTTGGTGGACTTCTTCCGCGTGGAGCAGGCGCTGACGCTGGTCATCGGCGAGTTCGTCAAGGCCGTGGCCAAAGGCGCACCCTCGCCCGTCACCCACGTCCTCTACAAGGTACCCTCGTAGCCGCACACGCCTTGGCGTACCACAACTCTCCCCCAACTGACACGACACGACACGACACGACACGACACGACACGACACGACACGACACGACACGACACGACACGACACGACACGACACGACACACGCAGGTGTTCCGGCAGTTGGTGGCGCAGGGGCACAAGCAGACGCTGGCGCAGTGGATCCTGATCTGTGCGCCCAACTTCACCAACATCCGCCAGGTCACGCGGTCGACCTGGGGCCTCGCCTGCCTCTTCCTGCCCCTGGCCAGGTAATGCCCGCGCACCAACCAACCACCAATCACTACTGTGGCCCTGCTGATGACTGATTGATTTCTGATTGGCTCACTACGTAGTGAGCGAGCACTGCGCGCGCTGTTTGCTGACGTGGCACGAATGGGCTACGTGCCCATGGACCTCTTCCTGCTCATCGCCTTCCACTTCTTCACCCTCCTGGTACTCCCGCCGATCACCGTGCGTCGTGTCGTGTGTCGTGTCGTGTGCGTGTCGTAGCTAACACGAAGGTCATAGGAGGACGACACGGCGAGGGACAATTTCATGTCGACGTTTGCGCAGATCGCCGAAGAGCCGTTCCCGTCGCTCCTCCACGTGTGCGGCGCCGAGGTCAAGCGCCTCCGGTCCCTGTCATCGGACGACGACGCCGACGCCGACGCCGAGCCGACCAGCGCTGATCGATCCGCCGCCAACCTGTCGCCGCGCCGGGCGCTGTCAACGTCGGCGCTGCCGCCCGTCCAGTCGCTCAACGACCTGGGCTCGGAGGAGCGCGACCTGCACCACAGCCACCACAGCCACAGCGGCCGCCGGCGCGGGGCCAGCCCGCCGCTGCCCAAGGACCGGCTCAGCGAGAAGCGCATCCGCGAGCGGTTCTACGCCCGCATGCGCCGCGGCGGACCCGACGCCGGCAGCAGCGGGAGCGGGAGCGAGGGCGAGGTGTCGCCGCAGCTGCCCTACGACCACCACCGGTCGTCGCGCCGCGAGAAGAGCTACGACGAGGCCGCGCTGCAGCGCATCAAGCACCTGGCCGACCGGCAGGACGCCGAGGCGCGCGGCGACGCCGACGGTGCGGGCGGCGATGGGAGCAATGAAAGGCGCCGCGAGCTGAGCTTCGACGAGGCGGCGCAGGGGAGGCGAAGGCTGGTGGCCGAGGAGGAGAAGGAGGCGAGGTCGAGCCCGAGTGTGCGGCGCCAGCTGCTGCCGACGACGGCGACGGGGTCGCTGACGCCGAACAAGCCGAAGAAGAAGCGGCGGGCCTCGCAGTCCAAGAAGGACAAGACCTCGTCGTCATCGTCTTCTTCTTCGGCTGGCGATGATGATGTCGATGGCAGACGAGAGAAGGCAGAGGAGGAGGACGAGGAGAAGCAGCGGCCCAAGGAGGAGGACACTGATGACCACCACAACCACCACAACCACAACGACGCGTCTGCCTGAGCGGTTGGTGCTTTTTCTCTTGCATTGAGCATTACTAGTGAAGATCTGTTCAAGGCGAGGAGAGGTGTGTTCTTGTCACACCAACACGCCCCGGCTCTTCAGGGCGTCCTCAACAAAGGCGGCGTTGAGCTCTTCGGGCGACATCGCCAGCACCTGAGCAGCCACGCCGCCGATGTCACACCTGCAAGCAGCAGCAGCAGATGACGGAGCAAACATCGTGAACCAGTCACGCAAGAAGTCTTCTACAACCTCGTCTTCGTCACACACAAGGAGACGGGAGCGAGAGGGAGGACTTTTACTTGAGTGTCGGTCATTGGCGCCGTAGAGCAGCCTGGCGCGGATGGGGCTGCCACCGGGCCGCCTCGGAAAGGAGTGGCTCCGTGGCAGAATCTGCTGGTCGTAGGCCACGCGATTGCGCCTGCACCTCTCTTTGTGAGCATTGTGTGCGTGTGGTGTGGCGTATGTGGTGCGTGCGGTGCGTGCGGTGCGTTCTCCAGTATGACGATGCGGCGGTCAGGTCTGTGAGGGACTTGGCGGAGCACACCACGGACGACACCAGCACCCTGCTCTGTCTTTGGGGATGGCCCAGGAATTGAGTTAATTATTTATGGAATGCTATGATACCTTAGGCATAAATGTTTGGAATAGTTGAGGACAGGTGGTTGTCCTAACCAACCCAACAGGCGCAGCAGCGACTGCAGAAAACACAACAAGAGGCCACCCTTCCACCTCTACCGCTCCTCCATCTTCGTCTCTTCTTGGCGAACCGACCAGCGTTGGCCCTTGGGTGCCTCGGCTGAGATTCGAATAACGCGGGAATCATCCGTCATTCGCGGATCAATTTGTGTTTGAATTGGACAAATTGCATTATTTCGGGATGGGGGACATCTACGACATCATGGTGAAGGACCTCATGGCGCGGCGGCAGGCCGAGGAAGAAGAGGACACCGACGATGACGAGGAGGATGAGGACGAGATTTCGAGCCAATCTGAATCGGACGGCGAGCCGGTGGCATTGGACGAGGCCGAGAGGGAGATGCTAAGGAGGACGCTCTCGATGGACGCGGATGGGGAGTATGATGATGATGAAAGCCCTTACCCGGGAGGAATGGAAGAGAATGGAAAGGAACGAACAGAGCCGCAGGCGGAGGGGAGCGAAGAGGAGGAAGAGATGCCCAAGGCCAAGGAGGTGTCGGCCGTGCTCTCGATGAAGCCTCAGCAGTACACCATCGATCGAAGATGGGCATCGGCCAGCACGCTCCCCTCTCTGCCGATGCGCGATCAAGGCCCCGCGGGCCGCCAGAAGCAGAGCAAGCAGAAGGAGGAAGGAGGAGGGTCCCCCAAGTCGGGGAACAGCTCCAACAATGGATCGCCATCGAGTAGCGGCTCCCATTTCCTCAGCCTGAGGAATCTGCGATCCAAGGACAAGGAGAGTAAGACGAGCAAAGACGGACATCAAAAGAAGCGTTCGAAGGAGGAAGCACCTTCATCATCATCTTCCTCTACTTCTTCATCGAATGGAGGCAAGGCCAGGAAGAGGGACATCCTTCGAGGGACCTTCCTGTCGCTGCGCGAGGAGAAGCAGGAGCTGAGGGGCAAGCTGCACGAGTGGCGCGCCCATCGCGACTCGGAGAAGAAGGAGAAGAAGGAGGAGAAGGAGGTCGACCGCGAGCTGCGCAAGCGGACCAAGGAGGAGGCCAAGGCCGCCGCCAAGCACGAGCCCTCGTCGTCATCTTCATCTTCATCGTCGAAGCGGACAGCGCGGAAGCAGGAGGAGGAGTGGGAACGGAAGGACCGCAAGGCCGCCGAGGCCTACGCCAAGCGCTACGGACTTGACCGCTCCTTCGACGATCGACCACGAGGTGCGTGAGCGTGTTGTGTGTGTCGTGTCGTGTGTGTGTGTCGTGTTGTGTCGTGTGTCGTGTGTCGTGTGGTTGCTGACATGGCACGGCACACAGAGGGCACGAAGTGCTACACGTCGTTCGACGACAACGAGGTGGAGGACGACGCGCCGCTCGCACCACGGCCGCTCCTCGGAGCCAGGCCCTAAACGCGCACGGAACCATGGCATGTGCGCGCGTGTTCTATGTGCGACGCGATGTGTGCGATATTTTAGACTGTACATAGATGAGAGAAGAGAGAGCACCGCTACTCTCCGTCGTGCTGGCTGCTCGTTCATCACCACCATCGTCATCATCATTATCATCAAGGAGGAGCCGACGACGCTGGCGCTGACGCTGAATAAAGGGGGGGCACACCCCCCGACGCCTATTTATTTCAACTCACTCTCGATGTGGTCCTCTTCGCTGTTGTCGTGACGACCGGCGTTGCCGCCATCGCTCTGCGCTTGGTCCACGTTGTGCGTTGTCTTCCTTCGCTTGGTCTTCCTCTTCTTGGTCGATGCGGTGGTGGGGCACGCCCGCCTCTTGTGGTCCGTCGCACCGCACGTGAAGCAACCCACCGAGCGCTCGGCCCCCTGCGCCCAACACGCACGACACGACACGACACGACACGACACGCCGTTGAGCACCACACTCGCAATCGCACATACGCACATTCATTGGATCGAGCGCAGGTGTCGTACGGGCGAGGCGTGGACGTGCTGCGGCAAGTCGCATCGCCCGCAGGTGTGGCAGTGCACTCGACCCGGTGGCACGCACAGCCCGCACGCGTCGCAGTGACTCCACTTCCTCCCGTCCTACGACGCAACATCGTCACATCCAGCACACAACACACGACACACGACACACGCACACGACACACCTTGGATGTGCACTTGCCGCACGCGTCGCAGTGCAGGTTGTTGCGGCACACGTAGCGGTCGCAGGCCGGGCACAGGCGATAGCCCTCGGCTTCGGGCAGGACGAACACGTTCGCGGCGATGTTGGTGAAGATGCGCACCGGCGAGAACGCGAACTTGTCCCCGCGCCCGCGCCGCGCCCGCCGCTGCCGCGTCTTCGACGGCGTCGCCCGGTTGAACAGCGGATGGTTGTCGTACCCCACCTGCACCCTCCCACGCATCAGCACCGCACGACACGCACGCCTCACGTGAGGCTCGCCACGACACACGACACGCACGGCACGCGCGCCTGACCTGGTAGTCGAGCATGTGGAAGGAGGGCAGGCTGGCCTTGATGCGGTCCTCGTAGTAGAAGGGGCACAGCCACATCACAGACATCCCGCCGAGGCCATCGGCCACCACCTCCGATGGCTGCGACGGCGGCTGCGACTGCGACTGTGGCGGCCGAGCCGAGCGCGAGAGGGCGCGCAGGGTGGCGACGAGGGACGAGACGAGCATGCCGTAGGGCGGGTCGAGCACGATGCAGTCGCAGCCGGCCGCCATGAAGCCCGCCACCTTGGCCTCGTCCGCCGCGTCAAAGAAGTGCGCGTTCCCTGTGTGCGCGCGCAGCGCGTGGCGGCCGGTCAGTGACACACCGCACGCACCGCACACGCTGATCGCACACACCGCACACGCATGTTACCCATGTTGAAGCGAACGAAGGTGGAGCCGAAGAAGGGCGCGAAGCGGTGGTCTAGGTCGAGCAGCAGGCTCGCCGCGACGGTGCTGCCCAGCTGGAGCAGTCGCTCGTGGAGCCGCGGCGTGCCGAGGCACAGAACGCGCCGCACGCGCGGTGGGTCCACGTCGCCGCCATCGCACACGCGGTGCGGCAGCCGCACGCACGCGGCGGCGAGCAGGTCGAGTGCGGCCGCGTCGAACATGAACTGGGCCAACCCCTTGGCGTTCCCGCTTAGCCGCACCCCGCCCCGAGTTGCTTCTTGGGGCGGCTCTGAAGATGGCTGCGCTGCTTGTGGAGCGGAAGATGAAGAAGAAGAAGAAGATGAAGATGAAGATGAAGCCAGGGGGTCCCATTCGTCGGCCCACAGGAAGAAGGGGCAGAGGCGTCGGTCCCTGTAGGCCGAGCACGCGTAGTAGGATCTAGATGACGCCCGGGCTGCGCTGCCATCTTCCTCTACTTCTACATCATGTTGGCGTTGCGATGATTGAAAGAGGAGCGTCGGCCCGTGTGCACAGCTCGGGCTCTCCTTCTCCATCTTCTCTACATGTTTGCCAGCTCTGCTTGCATGCATGCAACGAGAACGAGATTGATGTGAAAACAATAAAAAGAAAGTAAATAAAATGTTATCCGGGAAATATCCGGCATTTAATTGGGATTTGCTTTCTTTGCTTCTCTTCCGTCGGCATCGTCTTTCTTTTCCTTCTTCCTTCCCTCACGACCCTTCCACGCACCCAGCATGCAGAACGACGAAGGTGTTGCCGTTGATCTCTACATTCCCCGCAAGTGGTACGTTCTTCGCCACCCCTAGATGCAAGAAGTGGAAGAAGATGGAACAAGCGAAACGAAGGAGAGGCGGAGATGAACCGAAGTAGGCATTTAGTTCGTGTTAGGAAGAGAGGGAGAGTGCTAGTACAAGTGATGACTTATATTGTCGCCCCAGTCATAATTCATTTGATGATTGACACAATATCTGAAACTCAAATTTTGTTGAAGCATTGCTTGCTTCTTCCAGCATACACTAATCATATTCTTACCCTCTCCAGCTCGGCCACCAACCGCCTGATCACTGCCAAGGATCACGCCAGCGTGCAGATCAACGTTGCCAAGGTCGATTCCGACGGCAAGATCATCCCCGGTGAGTTCGAGACCTTCGCTCTCTGCGGCTACATCAGGGCTATGGGTGAGGCCGACGGTGCCTTCAACCGCCTTGCCAGGTCGCATGGCCTCGTCAAGAGGGTGTAAAGCGGGTTATTCTCACCTGAGGAAAAAATAACATTAATCCAAAAAACAAATCCCCCTTGCATTTGATGCTCAGTCATCACTGCCATCTTCAAGCTTTCGCATCTCGCTGTGTGCTCCTTGTACACGAACCACTCGAAGTCTGTGCACTCACTCTTCATTTCTCTCACTTGCTGCCCTCTCAGCCATCACTGCACGGAAAACTTGTTGTCCTCATCGCTCAGGAGGCCGCTGCTGCCCGTGCCCTCGCTGATGTCGCCCTCCTCGTCAAGGAAGCCGCCCTCCTCCTCCTCGCCGAACGCGTCGGCGGAGAGGGAGAACTCGTCGGCGCCGCCGCCGCCACCGCCGGCCCCGAGGTAGACGAGGCCCTCTCGCCTCCGGCGGACGCGGAAGTAGACCACCACGGCCACGGCCGTGATTCCGATCACCAGGAACGGCACCAGCACCTGTGTCGTTGTGTGTGGTGTGTGTGTGTGCGACCACGACGACGATGACGTCAGTACAGCCGATGGCAGCGGCGTCTTTAGGCTGGTGGTTGTAAAAGGAGGGGAAAGTGGCACCATGGCCGCAATGGAGCCGCCAGAGGGACCGCCGGACGAGCTGGATGAGGTGACGTGGGGCAAGCAGTTGCTGCGTTTGTTCAAAAACACGAAGATCAGTTCACCCACATCACATTCAGCACACAGCACACACACACCACCACACCACCACACAGCGCGTACCTGTTCTCGACAACTGAGAGCGAAGCGCCGCTGTAGCACGTCGTCGAGGATGCTGTACGCATTGGAGAACCACGTTAGTGCTAAGGAAACCACTTGCACGCGCGTCGTGTGCGTGTGTGTATGTGTATGTGTGTGGTGTGTTGCGTGGACATGAGACGCACCTGGCGCGATGACGACGTTGACGCCGCCCTGGGGACCCTCCTTGTCCTCCTCCTCGATGAGCAGGGCGGAGCACAGCTGACGCGCGGTGAGGGCCTTGGGGTGGATGCCGAACTTGTCCTGCTGGTCGTGGCACGCGTCCCACAGCTTGTTGCACAGCGACGGACAGACCGAAATCGAAATGTACTGGTCGCCCTGTGTAACGGACACCGCACACACCGCACGCACCGCACGCACCGCACGCACCGCACGCACAATCGCTCATTAGCATACAACACAGCGCACACAACACGACCCAATGCAAGACACTCACGCCTTGCTGCGGCGGAAGGGCCTAGTGGTGCGACGTGCCTCGGTGAACTTGGAGGTGTCGGGGCTGCACCACAGGCACAGGAGGTCCGCGACGGCAGCGTAGCACTTGTCGTTCGTGCCGTTCTTGTGGACCGCCTCCAGTTGTTGCTGCACGAGAAGAAGGAGACAAGACGCGTCAAGAAAGATGATGATGATGATGATGTATGCCCCTACGTGCGTGGCTACAACTGCACACAAGGAGGCTCGTGGGGGGCGTGAGTACCGTGACCGTCCGCAGGACGTAGCCGGCCACGCTCGACTTGCAGCACGTCTGGGCACCATACCAGCAGCATGTGCTCAACTTGTCGTTCTGTGCGTAAAAGTTGTGAGTGGACAGATGCCGTGTGCCAATGATCAATCTTCAATTAACAAAAAAAATGATGAGATTTTGTGTGGGAGGTACCTTCTCGGGAGAGAAGCCAGGCCAGCACTTGCCCTCTTCCCTCTTGTTGTGGCCAGCACTCGCGATGGGGTGGAAATCATCGACCAGCGCCTTCATGTTCTTGGCGTAGAGCCCCTTGAAGTTCTCGTGCGCCCGAGCCGCGCCCACAAAGATGAGCAACACAGCTGCAGCGCCCACCAACAAAAAGAAGCTGAATTGATCTCTCGTCCTCGCCATCATCAGAGCAAGAAGTTGCTTTTGTCGATCTGCCGCAGAGATTTCTTGAAGATCAGGCTGCTGACGTCAGCCTGCTGTCACTCACTCTTGTGTTCCTTCCACTTCTTCAAGCGTCAGCGCTCCTGGGTCTGCCTACTCGACAAAAGGGTCTTCTTGATCGTCTCCTCGAACGACTCAGGCGGGCGGCCGAGCCAGTCCTCCAGCGTCGGCGTCAGCACCTCGCACTCGGCTGCCCTGATGGCCTCGTAGACAGTGGCCCACTCCCTGATGTGGTTCCCGACACGAGGGTCGCGCCTGGCCGCCTCGCCGTAGCGCTCGATGTAGTCGTCGATTGACGACACCCGCTTGATGGCGATCGTCTTGTTGAGCAGGCAGCCCACCACCTCGGCCACCCGCTCGAGCGACAGGGCCTCGGGACCCGACAGCAGCACCGTCTCGTTGATGAAGGGGAAGCACTCGGCCTCGTAGGCGTAGCAGTGGACCAGCTTGGCCATGGCCTCGCCCAGGTCGTCGCGCGCTGCCCAGGTCACCCCGCGCCCGCCGTCATCGGGCAGGGCGACCTCGGCCGCGGGGTGCTCGGGGTCGAAGAAGCCCAAGTAGAGCGGGTAGGACTCTGAGTAGATGCCCTGGCGCATGATCGTGTAGGTCACGCCATGAGTCTCGGAAGATGAAGATGACTTAGAGTTGACTGAAGATGCAGTGGAAGATGGCGAAGATGAAGATGAAGGGGGGAAAGGCGAGGCTATGGAGGCCAGGTACGCTTCGGTGGCCAGATGGGCCTGCATGACGTGCGCCCGGCTCGTGGACTCGAGGTTGCCCCCAAATGCCTGGGAGGTGTAAAAGATGTGCCGGACGCCCTTCTTGACCGCCGCGTCGATCACGTTCCTGTGCATCTCCACCCGCGGCTCGATCTCGATTGAGGGATGGGACACCAGCACGACCACGTTGGCCCCCTCGAAGGCGGCCTCGAGCGTCGGCGGCCGGGCGTAGTCGACCGCACACACCCCGGCGCCGCACCGCTTGAGCCACTCGGGCGCCAGGTCGGGGCTGTGCACGGCCAGCACCAAGTCGAAGGCCGACATGAGGCTGGTGAGGTGTCGCACGATCGCAGAACCCAAGCGACCCGCAGCACCGGTCACTACGATTCTCATCTTTATTTATGTTGACCTTATCTCTTTGTTGTTGTGGTTGCGGCCCTCTGGTGATCACTTTTTATTTAATGACCGACCAATCAGAGGTCGGGCGGGTTGTCGGCGGCTTCTGGCCGACGGTTCAGCGCTCAGTGGCCGAGCAGCTGCCAGTGCATCTGGAGCAGCTTCTGTTCCGAGTACTCGTTGATGGCCGTGTGCGGGAACAGGCCCTGGCCCTCGCCCATCCCCGTCTGCCCCACGGCGAACGGATCCAGCACCTGTGCGTGGCGTGACCGCCCCACCTTGTGGTGAGAAAAGAACGAAAACGACAAAAAGAACGAAAGCGAAACAAAAAAGAGAGAAGGCGGCTGCTGCACCAAGTGGCGAAGGGAGGAGCACTGGGCTATCTTTTTGAGGAGTTCGACGTCGGCATACGAGAGGCACAGCACTTGCAGCTCTGGCAGCTGTTATTGCGGCGAATTTGAATAATTAGTTCACGCACTCGAGTGTGCGTGTGCGTGGTGTGTCGTGTTTGTGCTGGTGTCGTGTACTTACCTCGGATACAGCTCGCACGGAGCGAGCCGTCACGGAGGTCTTGGTGAGCGAAAGGAACTTCAGCCGGGCGCAGCGGAATATGACCGCCAGCACTCCCTCTGTCCAAATCAATATCAATAGCGTAACGCGCGCATTGAACGTGATGTTAGTGTTGGCTCTCACTCTCCTCTTGCAGCAGAAGGCGGGGCGGGCAGTTTACCATCGGTGATCGAAGAGCACTGGTACAGCGACAGCACGCGGAGGCTGCCCGAGTGCTTTCGCGAGATCTCCATCAATGCTGTGTGTGTGTGTGTGTGTGTTGTGTCGTGTGTCGTGTGTTGTGAGTTGACTAACTCGCGAGGCATGACGTGTGGCTGCGTCCGGAGAACATACCCGAGTCGTTGAGCTGCGGGAGGAAGTTGAGGTTGAGCGCCTCGATCCGCTTGCAGTTGGCGGTGATGGTGATGACCGCCTTGGCATCGAGCTTGTTGCAGCACGATAGGTCGATCTTCCGCAATGTCGTGCTTCGCGCCAACGCCAGATTTCTAATAATAATAACAACACAAATGGTCATCAATATGTATATCTATAATAAATAAATAATAAATAATCAATACATTCACGTACGCGAGATGCTCGGCGGAGAGGGAGGTCGAGCGAATGGCGAGGGAAACCAAGGAGCTGTTGGTCCGCGCCAGACCCTCGATGAAGTGGTTGATGCCCGCCGCCTGAATGAACGACATACACGCGATGTACACAGACACACACGACACACGCGACACACAGAGTGAGCCTGGCCTGGTGTCGATGTGGCCTCTGCCGACGGACGGCGTACCTCGTTTTCGGTGGTTGTGGAGATGGTGAGGGTCCGGATATGTGCAAAGTGCTGAGCAAACTCCTGAATCTTGACCGTGGGATTGCCTCGCGGGGACGAGCTCGGAGAAACCACATCCTGTGCGTGTCGTGTCGTGTGTCGTGTGCGTGAGTGTCGTGTCAGCGCCACGGCAAAGAGCGCGGGCTACGTACTTCGGGATCGACGAGGAGATTGCTGGCCAGGCTGTAGAAGGAGGAGATGACGTTGGGAATGTCGCGAATGTTGATCGTCTGCAGGCTGGCCTTGCGCTCTGCGGGGCACAAAGAAGCGAAAGGGCAGAAGGGGTTAAAAAAATAACTAATTAAATAGATAATAAAATAAAGCTGACGTAGCTCGTGCGCGTACGGTTGAGGATGTTGGCGACGTCGGTGGCGGTGATGGCGGTATGGGAGAGGTTGAGGTGGAGCAGCGCCCGGCACCGCTCGCCGATGCAGTTCAGCACCGCCGGCACGATCTCGCAGGCCGACAGGTTGAGGTCGACCACGTTGGGGATCCGCGTGACCACCAGTTCCAATGCAACCGCTATATACCCAATCGCACCCAATCAGGAGTGAGCGACATTGTGTGCGTGTTTCCTTTGTGTGTCGTGTCGTGTCGTGTCGTGTCGTGTCACGGTGATGATGATGAGGTGGACGCACGATCGATTCGGGAGCGCTCGAAGCTGAGGTGAGTCAGCGGGAGGGTGTCGGGCAGTTCGGCCAGGGACCGGCCGTGGCAGCCGGAGACGGACGACGAAAACTCGCAATCGACCAGCAGCAGCCGACTCAGTCGGGGCGCCTGCAGGACGCACGCCAGCGCCGGATAGGGCAGGTAGCAGTTCTGGCATGCGATGTGCCTGCAGCAGCAGCAGTAATAGTAGTCCTTCAGTCTGCTGCTGTTCTTTTCTTAAGGTGGCGGTGGTTAGGTGGTGGTACCGTAGCATGGAGAGGTTTTGGGTGATGATGTCGAGGAAGGAGCCCAGGTGGGATTTGTAGTAGTTCATGGAGTTGTCCAGGTCGATCGTCTTCACCTTCTTGCACCGGTTGAGCAGGTGTTCTATCGCCTGAGCGGAGGACAGGATTAATATAAAGATAAAAGATAAAAGATAAAAGATAAAAGATAAAAGATAAAAGATAAAAGATAAAAGATAAAAGATAAAAGATAAAAGATAAAAGATAAAAGATAAAAGATAAAAGATAAAAGATAAAAGATAAAAGATAAAAGATAAAAGATAAAAGATAAAAGATAAATCGGTGTTGGGTGGGCAGAGGAGAGAGCGGCAGTGGCGCACCCGCTCGGGGAAGGCGCTGGTGTTGCGCAGCGTGAGCTCGCCAATGTCGGGGTGCATGACACATAGACGCCTGATTCGGCGTTCTGGTTGCGTGCGGTGTGTCATGAGTGCGGTGAGATCAACTACGCACCTTGTCGTGTGTCGTGTGGCGTGTGTCGTGTGTCGTGTGTCGTGTGTGGTGCCGTGTACCGAGGGTGATCTGTTCTTGTCGGGCGGAGAAGAGCAGCTTCCAGGGGAAAGAGTGCCAGAGGGAGGCGTCGTTTGCCAGCACGTGCCAATGGCGACACACCAGAGAGACAGTGTCGGCCAGCTCGCGCTGCGAAATGTACGACAGAATGCGCAGCTGCAGCTCCTCCGGAATCAACCGCATCGGCCCTTGTTTTGTTTTGTTTTGTTTTAGAATTTGTTTTTAGTTTTCGGTTTCTAAATAAATAGACGACACCAAGAGCAGACGCGTACCCGTGACAGGTGTGAGAGGGTGAGGGATGGGCACTTCGATGAAGTCCATCAACGTTCGCCATACGGAAGGCGACACCTTGTGCTGTTCACCCAGAGGCACCAGCGATGACCCCACGTTAGAAAAAAGGTAGTTCAACCGTCAAGAAAGCGAAAACGAAAGCGAAAACGGGGGGGGGGCAACAACGAGCAGTACTCCGAACCTGATAGATGGGGATCTGGTCCTCCCTGACGGTAAGCGGGAGGTCCAGGGGAATCACCAGGTCCTGCAGGTCCGGCATGCGAGCCAGCCCTATGCGCCGCACGCGCGCCAACCAAATGACGCGTCAGCCCCGGGCACGAGCCTCAGCCCTGCATTGGGGGGTGGGAGGTGTACCATCGGGCAGGGATCGGAGGGCGTAGTTGTCGCAGAGTCGGAGGCACCGCAGCGACGAGAGCTGATGGATTTCCTCGGGCAGGGACGATATGTTGTTCCTATGGACGTACAGCGACGGACATGAGACATTCCAATGACCCGCACGACGTGCACACATGACTAATGGCAGAGGAGAGAAGAGTACCCGTCGAGGTTGAGCTGCACGAGGTTCTCGAGCGGGCGCACTTCGATGTCCAGGTCGCCGCTCTCGACCTTGAGCAGGCGCTGGAAGATGACGTCCTCGCGCTCGTCCAGCGCCTTGTCGTCGTCGGCCCCGCTCGCCCGCTTCCTCGACTTCTCCACCTCTCTTTCCCTGTTTTATCATTCTCTATTAAATATAATATAATATATAAACACAAATTAAATGTTTGGTGGGTACCGTTTCATGGCGTCTTTGGCGAAGCGGAGGAGCTCCTGCTGGATCTTCTGCTCGCGGATGAACTTGTCGGCGCCCTTGCCCAGCGCCTTGTAGAGCTCGCCCGTCCCGCTGCGCGCCCGCTCGGCCTCCTCCGTCGTCACCCGGCCTGCCAACGCCACCGGCCTGTCCGACATCATCACTACCATCATCACCACCACCACGGGCCGGGTGAGTGAATTGCTCGGGAGCTGAGTGGGCAAGTGGCGGGTGGTCGATGACGCATACCTGGTGCGGCTTCGCCCGAGAGTACGCTGGGCAGGTGGATGTCGGCGCCCAGAGACAGGAAGCGGAAGAACTCGGCCGAGCTCTTGAGGTCGATCTCCTCCTTCGTTCGCTGCCGTTCCTCTTCCTTGTCGGCTGCACGATTCGACCATCAGCACACGACACGCAGCACCGCACACGACGCACGACACACACGACAGGCACACGCGCGACACACACACACGCACGCACGCACGCACACACACACACACATGCGAAGAGGGCGGAGGGCACACCTTTGATGACGATGCCGAGAGGGAATGAGTTCCATTGGTTGTTGGTCAGGTTGAGCGAGGTGAGCGAGTGGGGAAAGTAGCCCGGTTTCGTGCTGTGGTCGCTCAGCTCGTTGGACGCCAAGTCCAACTTCTTCAGATTCCGCATCAAGCACAACGACGCGGGCAGTCTACAGCACACGCAACACGACGCACACAAGACACGCAGGACGGTTAGTGGCTGCGCGGTTGGCTGATTGTGTTCTGTGCGCACCGGGTGAGCTTGTTGCCGATCAGGGTGAGCCGCTCCAGGGCATGCAGGTAGCAGATGTAGGAGGGGACGGCTGTGATGTTGCACAGCGACAGATTCAGGCTGGTCAACGAACGAAGCTGTTGGATACGTATCCGCACACAACGCAGAACCAACACACACACACACACACGCACCACACACATACACACACACACGTTAGCTCTCATGTACAAGGGCGAAAGAAGACAGCTTGTGTGTAGCGTACATGGCAAAGGGAACGAGGAACGGTGTGCAGGTTGTTCTGGCTGAGCGACAGGTCGGTCAGCATCTTCAGCGACCGCATGCCTATACGCACACACCGTGACACACGGCACACGACACACGACACACGACACGCGCGTCAGTGTTGTGTGTGCGATGGCATGATGCACGGACGTGGGCGTGGCGTAGTGAGGCCTACCGGCGAACGAGAGGGGCTCGATCTTCTCCTGCTCGCGGCCCTGTCGGTCGTAGACGACGATGGGATCGTTCCCGAGGAGGTTGTTGTCGAGCTTGAGCTTCCTCAACGTGTCGCTGATTTCCGTGATCTCGTCGGGTACGAACATCACCTTACGCGGAAATCCGTTCGCCATATTGAGGCTCCCGAACTGGGTCGTACTCGGTTAGCCAACAATAGTTATGTCGTGTGTGTGCGTGTGTGTGCGTGTGTGTGCGTGTGTCGTGCGTCGTGCGTGTGGCTACAGGGTGCGAGGGAAAGTGTGTACCTGTTCACCAGAGACCTGGAGTGATGCGAGATAATCGCCGATATGCTTTGCCCATTTTCTGCGCTGGTCGATGACCGGCAAGCGGGCCTGCGTGTTCCATTAATTGCGCCGCACGCGTTTACCCTTTTAGTACACACATGCGCGTGCTGGCTTCCCACAGCACCCACGTGTGTGTGTGTCGTGCTTGCCGTGCGTGCGTGCCGTACCTCTGCTATCTTCTTGGCGTACTGGTACTCCTGGTAGGACTCGTAGAGATCGATCAGCTCCTGGCGAGAAGGAACATCAGCCATTGTTGGAGGAATGCAAGGTATGCAAAAAAAGGTGAGGAATGTCACGCACGTCGTCGGGTTCGTCGACCGGCGCAGTGGCGCGCGGCGATGTGAAGAACGACGAGCGGTTCGTGGGCACGGTCGGCATGGATGAGTTGAGGAAGCGCGGGAGCCGCTTGCCGTTCGGCGTCGAGGAGGCGGTCGTCGTCGTGGCGGTGGACAACAGGTCTCCGCTGTTGCTACCGCTATTGCTGCTGTTGCCGCTGCTCTTGCGCAGGCCGCCGCTGTTGCCGCCGCCCTCGCGCTGGGGTGAGCGAGGCGCCGCGGCCGCGGCCGTGGTGGACTCCGGGGGCGACATCGGCGTCTTGACCGACGCTGTCGACAACAAAATGTCAGCTTGGGCGGTCAGCCACCAGCAAAACGTTGAACCAAAAGAGTCGAGAGGGAGGTCCGTACAAGAGAAGCCGGCCTTCTTGTTTCGTTTGAGCTCGGCCTTGATCTGCGGGTACCGCGTCCCGAATTTTTTGAATGCCTAATAATTACCGAGCGTGTGCGTGTGCGGTGGTGCGTGTGTCGTGTATCGTGTGTATGTGGTGAGTCGTGTGCGACGGGGTCGAGAGCTATTCGTGGGGCGAGTGCACCTTGGTCTTGGCCACGCTTTTGAAGCGAAAGCTGATCCACAGTTCGATCTTTCGCCGCAGCTCGCCGAGCACGCTCGACGACTTGTGGATGCCGACCAGCTTCTCGTAGACGCCCGCCACGCTCTGCACCGTGAGCGAGTCCAGCACCACCTGGGCTGCCAGGTTGGCCAGGTGCGTGACCTCGTAGTCCAGTGCCAGCAGGAACAGCTCCAGCGCATACGACTCGGCTATCTCGACTTCGTCCGTGTACATGTACCTGTCGTGTGTGCGTGCCGTGTGCGTGTGTCGTGTGTGCGTCGTGTGCGTCGTGTGTGTGTGTGTGTGTGTGTTGTCGTGCGTTCAGACTTCATTCACCGCACGCACCACCGAACACGATACACGCGCGGACACGATGAAGAAAAGAAAAGCGAAAGGCGAAGAACGAAGAACGAAGCGAAGGGGAGAGGGCGAAGTACGAGAGCATGAGGTGGTAGAGATCGTAGAGCTGCAGGTCGCCGGCGGCCTTGTCCTTCTTTTTGGTCTTCTTCTTGCCGCCGGCCTCGAAGTCAGCGTGGTGGGGCGAGAGCGTGGGCGACGAGGCCGAGCGCGTCATCCCTGAGTTGGGGAAGATGTCGGTCGACTGCAGGCACGGCGAGTGGAGGAGCGTGATGAAGATGATCGCCGGCGCGTGGTAACCACCGGCTGCCGCACTGCTCCCCCCCAACGTTAGATGACCCGACACACGACACACGACACACGACACACGACACACACACGAGACGACACGCGTGGAGTTACCTCTGTTCTACGAGGGTGAGAGACTGGTTTTTGTTGGTGCGCGGTGTCGTGGGCTGACTGCCGTCCCAATAGCTGGCGGCGGCGGCCTGGTTCACTTCGTAGTCGGCGATGATGTCGTGCCATTGAACGCTGCGTGCGGAGAGAACGGCCTTGTGCGCGCGGATCTCCCGGCCATCGATGATGACGGTGATGTCACTTCACGTTTGCGTACGGCGACACTCAATGAGTCCGCTGATATGACCATTGACGCACGCACGCGCACACGACACGCACACGACATGCACCGCACGCGCACCTGAGCATCTTCGAGTTGAAGAACAGGCCGAGGGCGCCTTTCGGCGCGTACTGTCGGTGGGCTTCGATGTAATCTGCAAATAATTGTTATTGTTGTTGTCGTTGTCGTTGTCGTTGTCGTTGTTGTGATAAAGACGAGCGGGCGAACGCGTACTCTGGCCCTGGAGAAAGGCCTTGGCGACTGCGGCGAGGCTATCCACGCCCAGCTTGACGGCCGCGTTGTACAACCTGATGTACGCCCTCATATCTGATCGACGCGCGCTCCGTGAGCTCGTGTGTCGCGCGCGTGCCATAGGCCAGTGTGTGCATGCGGTGATGCGCGTGTCGTGTGTCAAGTGTCGAATGTGTACCTGTCGACTCGGGTTTGGGAAAGATGCCGGCGTAGATCCAATCGAGGACCGCCCTGAACGTTTCTTCGTCCACCCCGAGCACCGCTTTCCGCCGGCGGCCCTCCCTGACGAAGCTCTGCACTCGGGGGGGAAGGGGAGTAAGACACCACGTCACAGGTGCGCATACGTCGCATAGTTGCGCCTGGCTTCTTGCTTGAGAGGGGGAGGGTCGCGTGGGCGCAGAGCGGGCGACGGTGCGGACCTTCATGAATCGAGGGCTGTGCGCTATGAGGACGACCGAGTGCGCGGGCACGATGTCGCCGGCCACCTCGAATTCGATGTCGCTGCACTTGTGCTCGCCCACCAGCGACCAGAAGTCCGGCCCGTACGTCGACGACACCTGCCGTGCGTGCGATCGTTTTCCATGCCTTAGTGTCGCACACGCACGCACGGCACACACAACACACGCCCGCACACACGACACACACGCCCGCACACACGACACACACGCCATACACGACACACGACACACGGTACACGGCACACGACGCATACCACGGAATCAGGGCACGTACCGGTGACATGGGTGGGATTGGAGGAATCTTCTTGCCCTTGGCCTTCAGCCGCGCGACCTTTTTTTGGTGCCATTCCTGCCTTCGCTCAGGCGCCTCCTGTGACGTGGCCGCCAGAACGCACTGCTCGACGTTGAACTGTGGTCGCCGTCGAGAAGAGGCATGGCCAGTTAGCGCACGAGACGCGCACGAATTAACTCCTTAGCGAGAAGAGAAGCGGCAGTCATGGCCACGTACGCGAGTCCGTGCCGAGGCCTCGAAGAAAAGCGCGTCGTAGGTCTGTGCCAGCAAGTCGGCTTCGGCGTAGGACACCTCACGGAGATCTTCTCGGTCGGCCTTGTTCTGAGAAGAACGAAGAAGAACGAAGAAGAAGAAGAAGGCGGTTGGTGTGAGTGCTACCCTTCATCGAGATTGGGGGAAGAGAGGGGACGGAGGTGTGGCGGCGTACCCCGACGAGGACGATCGGCCCTGTGGGCTCTCCCTGCTCCAGGTCCAGCGCAAGTTTGGGTGTGTCAGTGAGTGGCGCGATACTTCTTTGTGTAGGCTTGGCTCTACACACAAAAGAAGAGTGAAAACGAAGGCCGAGAGAGCGGCTACCTTGCCTCGCACGATGCGGTCTACCCAGGCGGCAAGTGAGTCGAACGAGGAACGCGACGTGATGGAATAGACCAGGAGAAAGGCCGTGCACTCCCCTGTCGTGAACGGGCACAGCGTCAGACCAGTGCTAAGTATTAGTATAATACAATAGTTGTAACCACTATCGGCGGACTGCGCTGACGTACGAATGATCTGGTCGCTCCAGCCCCAGTCCTCGGTCTGCACATTGTCAAAGAGGTGCACGACGCGGTACTGGCCATCCACCATGCGGTGATATCTGGCACACGCAAGCACACAGCGCCCACAACACACAACGTACACACGCACACACACGCACACACACGCACACACACGCACACACACGCACACGCACACACAACGTGTAACGCCCCGTCAGTAATCCGCGAGGGCTTTAAAAAATGGACCCATTAATATGTTACGCGGCACGTAATGAACATTTGCGCCCGAGAAGCGGTTGGTGCACTGTCGGGTGCTACGATCGGGAACAGGAAACGGAGAAAGGGGATACCCACAAATACGAACAACACATCGTGGTGACGCGTAACAGCGCACAAGGGCGGGGTGCTGCGACAGTGACGTAAACTGCGCTAGAGGGAGAGGGGGGGGGTGGCGAGAGGGAGGTCACGTACTCATACTTGCCGTCGGGCGACTCGATCTCTGTGTAGTGCAAAATATATTACATTTATATATATTTAAAATGAAGGAAGGAATAATAATACTAATAAAAATGATAGATTAAATTAAAAATGAAGTCCTTTTTTTATTGTAATAAATAAAATAGTGAAGTGGTTTGCGTAGTACCAAGGAAGGCGTTGTGGGCCAGCTGAATGGCGAGGCTGGTCTGTAGCCGGCCCGGAGCGTGTGAGCCGCGGCAGCAAGTCCAGCGGAGAGGGAGGTGTGTGGAAGAGTACCTTGCCTACGCCCGGATCGCCCAAGAGCAGCACCTTGCTCTGTGGCTTCTCCATCTTCAGCTGCGAGTTGTGGCTTTGCGCAGAAAAAAATAAAATAAAATAAAATAAAATAAACTAAACTAAACAGTGTGCCGGCTTTCCCACTTCGGGGTGGGCCTTACTCTAGCGGCGAGCTTGCAGTTGTTGACGTCTGTGGTGTGGTCTCTTGGTTCTTGCAAGCTGGGTAGTCAGGGCAGCGGTCACCTAGGCTTCGATCTCTTCTTTCTTTCTCTTCCAGCACAGGGGTCCTGTACATTCAAACACTGAGTTCCCTAACTCCTTATCACAACCACTCATCACGAATCATGCTTGTTCTGCTTACCACCGGACCCCTCGAGATGTTATGCGTATCTGGAGGACGCAGCTACACCGCCGGCCGACTTGGTGGCACCAAGTCACTCCAAGCGAGGGTGATGTTGGCGCGGTGAGCGTCACAAACTCTGCATGGTCGCGGCTGGAAAAAACCGGGCATGAACAGGACTGCGGCCGCAGATTCCAGGATATTGTCCGGTTTGGTGGTACGTTGGCGCAGCGGTTGTGTTGGTGCCTTGGGCTTCGCTGCGACGAAACGGAAACGAAGCAGAGCGCATCTCTCGTCTGGAGGAGAAGATTCCCTGGAAGGCCTGGCAAGTCGCGAGCAAGGTGAAGGCGGATCTCGCCATCTTTAGTTTACGTTTAGAAAGGGAAAATTGGAACGTTAATCGAGACGCGTAGCGACGGAGGCCATTAGATCAACAGGAAAATTGATTTGCAATTCTTTTCACAATCATGGAGATGACCAACAAGCAAAAAGAATCACTGTACGCCTCCCCCCTTTGATGGAATCGCCTTTCTTCTTTATCTATCTTTTCCCCTTGAGGAGCGAACGTTCGCTCTCGGCCTCCAATTAGCTGCTAAGGGAGCAATTCCTTCACTTTTTCTATGGGTCTCAAATTAATCGATCAATGATATTACGCACCCTCCCCTCCCTCAACGTAGTGGTTTAAGTCATCCTTGTTCTTGAACGCACACGACTCACCCAGTTATTGGCCCACAGGAATAAAGCAGTACTTGAGTACCTGCGATCAGCGGGTTTCACCAAGACGGTGGAAACCTTCCAGGAGGAGGCGCTCGTTGATCCTGATCCAAAATCGGCCGGCCTCCTCGAGAAGAAATGGACTTCCGTTTTGCGGTTGCAGAAGAAGGTGCCCTCCTCCACACCAATCAATCTTTCTCGCCTCTGCTCTTTCTGCTCCGTCCCCCCCGCTCGTCCAGCTTGATTGCGCATCGTCTACACTCCATCTATCCCAGCCCCACTCCATTTCCACGATTACGCTCAGATCGTGAATGCACCCTCTCAAATCTACACTTATTTGTACTTTGCGCGCTGTGTGGCATCGACGCACATCTCTCACAATGCAATCCGCCTGCTGCTGGTCACTTGTTGTTTGCAGATTATGGAACTGGAGAGCAAAGTGACGCAGTTGCAAGAGGAGGTGGATAAGGGAGGCGGCGGTGCTGCCAAGAAACAGAACGGGGAGAACATACCCCCGGCCGCCCTGTAAATACACGCTGTCCGGCCACCGCAACAACATCAACTCCGTCCGGTACGCACCGCACGACGCACACGACACACACGACACACTACACGACAACGTATGTTCACGCTAGAGCGTGGGCAACAGATTCCACCCGCTGTTCAACATTCTGGCGTCGGCATCCGAGGACGCCACGATCATGCTATGGGACTACGAAACGGGCGAGTTCGATCGAACGCTCAAGGGCCACACGCTGGCGGTTCAGGACATCGCCTTCGACCAGGCGGGCAAATTTTTGGGTACGGCCGCTCTTCTCCCCCCCTCTTCGCTTGCTTGCCTGCGTAGCTGTCGGTCATCATCGCCGATGATCGTCTGAAACTCATTGTCCTTTGTTGCTCGGTACGCGCGCAGCTTCTTGCTCTGCTGATCTGTCGGTGAAGCTGTGGGACCTCTCGAGTTGGAAATGCGTCAAAACGTTGCAGGTGAGTAATCTTACCATCGCTCTCCAGTGGCTTATCCACGTCGTTTCGTGACTCTCTGGTTACCGATAGTCACTGACTCGAGTCTCTCCGTTCACTACAGGGTCATGATCACAATGTGTCGGCAGTAGTGTTTACGCCAACGGGAGACCACATCATATCCGCTTCGCGAGATAAGACGGTCAAGGTGTGGGAAGTGTCCACCGGGTACGCGTCTCCCATTTTCGCTTTCGCTCACTTCTTTCTCTTTCGCGATTTCTCACGTCAATCATTTTCTTCATTTTCTAAACAACCCATTCTGAATTGGCCAGGTATTGCATCAAGACCCTGCAGCACGACGAGTGGGTGAAGCGCGTGCTGACGAGCGAGGACGGAACCACTGTCGTCACGGCGTCCTACGACCAGGTAAAGCGTCTGCCCCACAACCGCGCCTCCACATCCCCCGACCGCGCTCGTCGACTAACTTCTCTCGTTTGCGCCAGACCATTCGCACATGGGACTTGGCGAAGGGCGAGTGCACGGGCGTGTACAGGGGCCACGACCATGTCATCGAGTCCATCGCGCTCTCGCCAGCCACCACTCCCTCTCTCACCCAGGACAGCGAAGCCGTACGCACTGCCTCCACTCACCCACCCAGCCGCCTGCGCGTTCGTGCGTGTGCCTCGTGGTGCGTGCGTGAGCGGACGTCACGAGTCTCACACGCACGCGCGCGATTGTATATTTGAAATCCAGGACTCGAACGGAAACCACAGGACGCGCAACGCTCGCACGCGAACGAAGGCGGGCAACAAGGGCGGGGCGGGCGCCTACATCGCGTCGGGGTCGAGAGACAAGACCATCAGGATCTGGGACACCCAGACCCAGCAGGAAGTCATGACCCTCGTACGGCGCCTTCGCTCTTTTTTCTCTTTCGCTTTCGCTCTTCTCTTGCACTGGCCTCTGGCGCTGCGGCTCGACGAGAACACAGACCTGACCCGCAGCGCCCACGTGGGCGATTGCAATCGCGGCAGGTGGGGCACGACAACTGGGTGCGCACCGTGTTGTTCCACCCCAACGGGAAGCTCTTGATCTCCGTGTCGGACGATAAGTCCATCATGATCTGGGACCTGGTGCAGAGGCGGTGCATCAAAACGATACACGAGGTACGCCGTCCATCCACTCTTCCCAAGGCTTGAATCGACCCTGCAAGCACCTTCTCACCGTGTGACACTGACACATGACAGGCGCATCCGCACTTTGTGTCGTGTGCGGACTGGAACAAGAGGTATCCACTCCTCGCCACCGGCGGCGTTGACAACACCGTCAAGGTGTGGCCGGCCACATAAGGGGCCTGGCGCCTTGTGGTGGAGCGAGCGAGAGAGAAAGAGGGTGGGCCGAGAAGAACGAAGAAGAATGAAGAAGAATGAAGAGAGAAGATAGAAGAAGGAAGGAGAAGCTTTCGTTTTTATTTTTGGGTGACCCTACCGTGTACTGTACCCACCTGCCGTACGAGAGATGAAGGAGAGTTCTGGTGACGATGTTTTTGCAATCATGCACAGAAATGTCTTGTGCGGCAGTGTTTGCTGGCGTAACTCCTATGGCGGATTTAGCCGACCAGATAAATGCACGCGCCCTTCTAAAGATTATATTAAAATATTGTAAATATTGTAGATTACTGTAAAAGTGGGATTTTTGTCGGATAAAACCCGAATAAAACGGGGCACAATGCAAAAAACCTTGGCGTGCAATGCGATGTCTTAGCATTTCCGGGCAAGAAACGTGCACCGCGTGAGCTTGCTGTGCCGGCCTGGCACAACACGACGTGCCACACAAGCACCAGCGATTCCACTCGCTTGAATGCCACATCTGCTCTCGGACCACAAACGACCGTGTGTGCACAGATAATGCGATCAATCAGCGGCAGCACGGTGGACGATAATCGACCACCAGAGTCCAATCTGGGCCGCAGGTTGGATACTCGGCGGCTTCTCATCATCGCGGCTCTGCTCTGCGCCGCATTCTACTTCCTCTCCTCCCTCCTCCCCGCCAATCCCTCCTCCTATTATGATCGCACCCTCTACACAGATGTCTCATCGTCTCCCGACGATCAATCATCATCATCTTTTTTTTCACATCGGCCCGACCCGCTCAGCATTCGCTGGGACCTGCACAGCTCCCTGCCCGACCGCAACTTCCACATCGTCAGCGCGAGCCAGGACCACCGCGCCTTCCCCCCGCCCGCGCGCCTGCCCGCCGACCCCGCCGTGCGCGCCGCCACCTTTCCCGAACTGGCCGGCGACCCGCGCCTCCGCATCTTCCAGCTCCACCTGGGCCTCGCCAACCGCTTCGTCACGGTACTCAAGGACAACAGCTGGACCAGCGCCTTCGGCACCGTCGAGCTCTGGTGGCACGACCAGCCCGACGACGACGTCGACGGCGCCGCCGACATCGGCTCCACCGCCGAGCAGGTGGTGCTGATCGAGGGCGTCGGGCGGATGGTGGTCAAGCGCCTCCCGGCCCAGCAGTGCCTGCACGACCTGCCCAAGGGCACCGACTACCGCATGGCCAACGGCCAGCCGGCCTACCTCGAGCTCGTGGTGCGCTGCGCGTTCCTGGTCGACGACGTCGTCGTTGCGCGGCTGCGCGACCACGCGCGCGCCCGTGGCGCGCTCAAGGTTCACGCCGCGGGCGACGCCGCGCTCTTCCCGCTCGCCGAGGTGCTCCACTTCCCGGACCCGACCACCTTCCTCACCTACGACGAGTACGACGAGCGGCCGGCCGCCTTTGCCGCGGCGCCGTGGGAGCCGGTGAGCGTGGTGCGCGCGCCGGCCGGGTCGGCCGCGGCGGCGATCCGCGTGGGCGCGGTGTGCACCAAGAAGTATTCGTGGAATGCGGACGACGAGCTGTGGCTCATGTGGATGCTCGACATCGTGGGCGTGGACCACATCGTCATCGCCGTGTCGACGCGCGACCTCAACATGTCCACCGTCGTCGACGCCATCGCGCGCTACGACGACCCGCGCCTCACCGCGCGCGTGACCCTGGTCGACCTCGACGTGCCCACCGGGCGGCCCAAGGTCACCTACTCGTACCTGCTCGAGTGCATGGGCCGCGAGGCCTTCCTGCGCTGGCAGGCCGACTTTGACTTCCTCTTCCTCATCGACCCCGACGAGTTCGTCCAGCTCTTCGCCGCCGAGCCGCCGCACGCGCGCATCGACGTCAAGACCTTTGTCGCGCGCCACCGCGAGCGCATCGAGCGCGAGGGCGTCGCCTACCTCCGCCGCCCGCGCGTGCGCCGCCTCGAAAGCGACCACCGCGCCGCTGAGCCCCTCCTCCCCGCCCTCCTCCGCGCCCTGGCCCCGCTCGACGGCGCCGCCATGCACCACCTCCTCGGCCCCGACGCCTCCTACGCCCGCGAGTTCGGCAAGTCCCTCTTCTGGCCCCCGCGCGCCATCCACTCCTTCCTCCACTTCAACCCCGACTCGCTGCCGGACTGGTTCGACGCCCGCCAGGCCCACATGCTCCACGTCCGCAAGGACAACCCCTACGGCGGCCAGCCCGTACGAACGGTGCAAGAGTACCTCGACCAAATAAAAAATAAAATAAAATAAATTAACAATATGTTACATATACTTCACCCGATATGTTCTTACATATTCCCATGAGACCGGTGGTATGGTGGTGGGTTATGGTCCTTCGGGGATGCTCCGCCGCCTGCGTGTGGACCGGCAGTCGCTGGGTTCGGTCGGGGGGTGGCCCACTACAACTACTGGATCAACCAGCTCCTCCAGCAACTGGATGGGGGTGCAGTGTACATGTCAGCATGTGCGTGTGCGGTGTGTGCGGTGTGTGCGGTGTGTGCGGTGTGGCGAGTGTGTGCGGTGAGGAGTGCGTACCTTTTCGATGAGGCTCTGGCCGTCGTCGCCGCACTGGGCCAACATGGAGTGGTGGCTCACCCGCCAAAGCGACACGACGAAGCCCTCCGCGCCGACCGCGGCCGCAACCACCAGGACCTGCCCGGCCGTGCGGGTCATCATCACCACCCGGCGGCGTGGCTCGTTCTGGTCGAGGTGCAGGTGGTGGAGCAATACGGTGCAGGGCATGTGGTACCGCCAGTTGGCGGCGGACACGGCCGACGCGTACTTGGTGCGCACCACGGCCGTCCGATTGCGCTCGGCCCGCGCGCCATCAGCTCCACGCCCGGAAAGGCCACCGCGCACTGCAGCCGGGCCTCGGCGCACCCTCCGCCGCCGTCTTTGCCGGGGTGGTGGTGGAGGTGGTGGTCAAAGTGGTGGACCAGGCCCCAGTCGGGGGTGCTCCCGCCCAGGAAGCCCGCCTTGATCTTCACCTTGAGCCCGCCGGCCGGCTGCCTCTGCGGCGACGACAATATAGAGAACAGCGTGAGCGCCTGGAAGCCGGCTTCGCTCTCGTCTTCCTGGTCGTCGTCGTCACCATTGTCGCTGTTGTGGTCTTGATCGTTATTAGAGTTGAACTTGCCCTGATTGCTTTCTTCTTTGATGTCGTTGTTGTTGTTGTCGTAGTGGTGGTCGGCCTCCTCGGCTGGTCCGTCGGGTTGCGGCGAGGGAGGTGGTGGCGGGTGGTACGCGAGGATGAGCGATTGGCTCAGGCTGGTGGGCTCCCGCTTCATTCTCTTCCTCTGCTGCGCCTGGTACACGCTCATGATCCTTGTTCTTCTTCGCCTTCAACGACCCGTTCTTCAAAACTGCCCACGTTGCGTTTTGAACGTGCTAGCGGTGTAGTTGGTTGTTGTGTTCGCGTTCTTGTGTGACGTGTGCTGCGTTGTGCGTTGCTGCGCCGTAATTTCTTTAAAGAAATCCTGTACTCCCAGCCAAATTTACACATGAACTCCTAAAAAGGGCAAATCAACCTCGATCTGGTCCCGCCATGTAGCCAATAGGCAAGCGCACGTGAACGTGTAGACCAGACTCCAACCAACCAACCAATCATCTCATCACCGCGCACTCCCACGAAACAACTTCTGAAAGAAAGAAGTAATAATGAATTAATAAATAAATTGGTTGTGGTGCCCATTCACTTCACGGGCTCTTGCCGGCCAGGCACGGGCGCAGCTTGCGGGCCACCTCGAGTACCGTCGGCTGGAACACCATCGACTCGTGGTCGCCGCCCACGTCCACCACCGCCACCTCCTCACAAAATTGGTCCCACCCCAGCGTCCTGCGCGTGTCGTGTCGCGTGTGTCGTGCGGTCAGCGCGTGTTGTTGGTAAATTCGAAAAAGAAAGAGAAAGAAAGAAAAAGAGAGAAAGGTACCGAGAGTGGAGGAGCGGGTCGTCGACGCCCTGGATGTCGTTGTCGCCGGTGGTGCGGAAGAGGGTGACGCGCCCGCGCAGGGGCGCGGCCGGCCGGCCGTAGTTGCGCGACAGGACCTCGCTGTCGCGGATGTCGCGCTGGAAGCGGAAGAAGAAGTTGATGGCGACGGAGGGCGGGACGAGGTCGAGCCCGTTCTTGTCGATGACCTTGCCCATGACGTTGAGCAGCCGCTCGTCGGGCGAGAGCGGCGCGGTCTCGGTGTAGGACACGTCGACGCCGAAGCCGAGGTACTGCTTGGCCCCGCGGCACAGCACGCAGAACGCGAGGGCGTCGGCGTCGTAGCGCAGGTAGGTCGGGTCGTAGACCGGCGCGCGGCCGTCGAGCAGCAGCAGGTTGACCTCGTCGCCCGACGCCTGCAGCTGTCGCGCCACTTCGTACGCCACCGTGCACCCGAACGACCAACCGGCGATCTGTCATGCGTGTGTGTGTGTGTGTGTTTCGCACGACACACGCGTCAATACACGACACGCACGACACGCGCGACAGTTGCGGGGGCGACGGCGTACGTTGTAGAGTCCGCTCTTCTGGACCGGGCGGATGGCGGCCACGTAGTCGGCGGCCATGGCCTCGATCGACCGGTACTCGATCCTCGGCTCCAGTCCGTACACCGGTTGGTCCGCGCCTGTGTACGCGCAACACGCGTCAATGTCGTGTGCCGTGCCGTGTCGTGTTGCGTGTCGTGTCGTGTCTCGTACCGAGGTGGTAGGCCAGGGCGCCGTAGCAGACGGATGACTTGAAGGCCGGGTGGATGACGAACAGGGGCAGGCCGGGGCCGCGGGTCTGGAGGGGCACCAGCGGCGACGCGAACGACGAGATCAGCCGCTTGGCCGCGCTCATCTTCTCCGCCAGCACCGCCGTCGGCGCCGCGCTGCTCACCGCCGCCGCCGGTGGCGCGAGCCCGGGCTGCTGGTCCTGCTGGGTACCGACACCGGCGTTGGACCCCTTGACGATGACGCTGAGGTCGTCGTAGCTGTCGCGGCCGCGGCGCTCATCCTCCTCGGTGGTCTTGGCCGATCGGCCGCCGCCGCACGAGAGTAAGGTGGCTGCTGACGTGGCGTGGGCCTCGCCGATGCACACGGCGAGGTGGCGCACCGTCGAGGCCGAGAAGATGACCGAGAACGGGAACCGTACGCCGAACTTGCCCTCGAGCGCGCCGATGAGGGACACGCCCAGGAGCGAGTTGCCGCCCAGGGCGAAGAAGTCGTCGTCCACCCCGACCGGCGACACGTGGAGAATCGACTCGAACACCTCCACCAGCGTGCGCTCGGCCGCCGTGTTGGGCGCCGCATAGTTGAACCCCACCTCGTGTTGCCTGCAGGCACCACTACACGTGTGAGCGCTCACCGCACACGCCGCACACGACGACACACGCGCGGGTGGGAGACGTACCCGCCGCGCGTGGGGGAGGGGAGGGCGGTGCGGTCGACCTTGCCGTTGGGCGAGAGGGGCCACTTGTCGAGGACCATGAAGTGCGAGGGCACCATGTAGGCCGGCAGGCGCTCCTCGAGCAGCAGCCGCAGCTCCTGCACCATCCGCGCCTTGGCCTCGTGGTGGTTGCTGCTGACGTCACCACCACCGGCGCTGCTGACGTCATCGCCGATGACGCTGCTCTCCATGATGATGTAGGCCACCAGGTACTTCTCGCCGCCGGCGTAGTCCGGCTCCCTGGCCACCACGAGGCACTCCTTGACGCTGCGGTGCTGGTAGACGCAGTTCATGATCTCCTCGAGCTCGATCCTATAGCCCCGGATCTTGACCTGGTGGTCGACCCGCCCCAAAAATTCTTCGCATGCCAATGACCACGCGTCAGCATTCCACACACAATCGCGGCGTACATTCTTGAGGAGCGAGTGGTGTACCGAGCGTGTTGTCGTCGCCGTCCTTGTAGCGCAGCACGTCGCCGACTCGGAACATCTTGTCGCTCGAGTGCGGCAAATATTTGAGCTTGAATGGATTATCTACAAATGACCGTTCCGTCATCTCGGGGTCGACGTACGAACCCACCCCTGGCGCACATCAGACATAGGACGATCAATCAGCGGCAGAAGAAGAAGACGACGACGACGATCGGTGGTAGGGTGCGCTGCGTACCATCGCCGGCTATGTACAATTCGCCCAGCACACCCGCAGGCACCAGTTGTCGGTAGGCGTCCAAGAGGAAGAACTGGCTGTTGTGCTCCTTACCGCCTAACAACACATTGTCAACACCCACATCAGTCCTGTCTTGTGCCGCACGCACCGCACACGCAGTGGATGAAGACTTACCTACGGGGATGGAGGAGCCCTGGGTGTGTTCGAGAGTGACGCGGAGGGCGGAGGCCCACACGGTGGTCTCCGTGGGGCCGTACATGTTCCACAGGGCGGAGCAACGCGGCAGGAGCTGCCGCGCGAGGTCGCACGTCATGGCCTCGCCGCCGCACCAGATCCGCAGGTGCTCCGCATCGCCCTGCCAGCCCGCCGCACTATGGGCCGTCAAGTGAGTCGGCCAGTAGTCGACGATCAACGAACACCGCGAGGCGGGCGGGCGGGTGGCCACGTACCACAGCATGCGCCACGAAGCCGGGGTGGCCTGCATGATGGTGATGGGATCGCGCGCAGCCAGCCTCTCTTCGAGCAGCGTCTTCAGGCGGAAGCCGTCCCTGTGTGTGTGTGTGTCGTGGGCCGCGAGTGCGTGGGTGAATTGTCATGTTGCAGTGACCAGACGGTCAGGCGCGATGATGCGGTGGCCAAGGGGAGAGAAGGTCGGTGTACCGCTGGATGGCCGAGGACACCATCACGATCTTGGCGCCGCAGGTGAGAGGCAGCACGAGCTCCAACTGCGCAATATCGAACGACAGCGTACTGCGCAGCACAGGCAACGGCCCATGAGTCGAACCATTAAACTACAAATAATACTACGTCCTTTTTAATATATTATTATTATTATTATTATATTTAAAAAATGGGGTTACTTACCTCACGCCCAGGATGACGTCGCCTTCGCGCATGCCCGGCTGGGATCGGATGTACTGGAACTGGTTGACCAGCCCCCTGTGGCAGATACGCACGCCCTTGGGCTTGCCGGTCGAGCCTACACACGCGACCAGCCGGCCAACGAGAGCATGTGAGGAATGTGTAAAAAAGAAAAGAAAAGAAAAGAAAAGCAGACGAGGGCACGCGTACCGCTTGTGTAGATGACGTAGATGAGCTGGTTGGCGTCCAGCGCGGCGGTGACGTCAGCCGGCATCGCAGAGTCCGGCGAGCTTTGGATGGCGCTCACCACGGAGGGGTCGTCCAAGCACAACGCAGCACACTCCCCGTCGTGGCCGGCAAAGAGGACATCGGCCTTGGCTCGCTGCGTGACAATGCTGGCCACGTTGGCATCCTTGGCGATTTGCCACACGCGCTCCTTCGGCGTTCTGTTCGCGCAGAGAGCGGCGGCGGCGGCGAGGGCAAGGTGGTTGAGAACCAGTGAATAGCGCCGCAGCATATCAGAGTTAAATAATAATAATAATAATGCGCATGACGTACTCGGGGTCGAGCGGCAGGTAGGCCGCACCGGCTTTGATGACACCGAATATGGCGACCACCACATCCACGCATCGAGTCCTGCGATAACACCGCACACACCACGTTAGCTTGCGCACGGCCGACATGGCACAACATGACGCATACGGCACTCACGACACACACTCATGACACACACACACACACACACACATGACACACATACGACACACACACACACACACGCGACGCGACGCAGAGGCGTACATGTAGATGGCGAGCAGGGAGCCCTTGCCCAGGTTCAGTGACAGCAGGTGGTGGGCGACCTGATTGGCTCGTCGGTCGAGCTCGCGGTAGGTGAGCGCCTGGCCGAGCTCGTCGAAGGTGATGGCCACCTGGTCGGGCGTGCGCGCGGCCTGCGCCTCAAAGAGCCGCTCGATGCGCACGTCGGTGGGGTAGGGCCGCGCGTTGTCGTTGTGCGCCACTACCAGCTGCCGCACCTCGTCCTCGGGCAACAGCGGCAACGAGTGCACGGTCTGGGCCGGCGCAGCTGTCGACAGACCGGCGAGCAGTGTCGACAGATAGACGCTCAGCCGCTGCGCGTCCTTGGGCTGCCACAGGCCGGCGTCGTAGCTCAGCGTCAGGTCGTACGGCGCCGGCGATGATGACGTGGCACCATGTCTGACCACCAGGACCAGCGGGTACTGCCAATTGGTCGTGTGGTCGCAGCTGACGGCCACGGCCACCGCACCGTCGGTGGCGGCGTCGAGCAGGCCGCGGGTGTAGTCGTCCCACACGAAGAGGCTCTCGAAGAGGCTGTACTCGGCGGCCACCTCGCTCTGCTGCTGGATGGCGCTGATGCTCAGCGTGGCGCCGGCGCCGCCAGCCTGCTGTCCGCGCTCCCTGGTCGCGCGCACCGTGGCGTCCAGTCGTCGCAGAAAGGCGTCAAGCCGCACGCCCACGCCGTTTTCGCCGAGCCCCGCCCCGTCGTCGCCCGCGTACTTGTCCTCTTTGAAGTCCACCACCGTCGGCACAGCCGCGTGGACGCACCCCAGCAGCGGCGCATCACCGCTCGACGCGTCGGCGCCGGCGCGGGGTGTGTGTTGTGTGGGCTGGGCCAGCAGGGAGCCGAACAGGACCCGCTTCTCGCCGCCGCTGCATCGCTGCAGCAGACAGGCCCACGCAGCGAGCAGCACGGTCTCGAGCGAGACCTGGTGGCTCTGCGCCAGCTTCTGCAGGCCGGCCGCCGCGGCGGCCTCCAAACGGACCTGGACCGCCTGGTGGCGTTCGCTCTGCGCTTCCCTCCCGCCTGCGGTCGTCGGGCTCGCCTTGAAGAGCGGCGTCGGCGCCCGGATCTCTCGCAGCGTCTCGCGCCAGAATCGCTTCTCCTCCTCCTCGCGCTTGGCCGGGTCCTTGGCCGGCGGCTGGGCGGGCTCAGGCTCGGCGTTGACCAGCACCAGCGGTGAGTCGAGGCCGACGTGGCCCTGGCCTTGGCCCTGGGAGTGGGTGGTGCGGACGAGCCGCATGAAGTGGGCCAGCACGACGGCCGACGAGCGGTGGTCGAGCAGGGCCGCGTGGAAGGTCCACAACAGCTTCATCTCGCCGACGGCGGTCATAGCGAGCGTCACGCGCACGAGGTGCTCCAGCTTGCGCAGGTCGAAGCCGCTCCGGGCGTCGGCCCGGACCAGGTCGGCCCACTCGCGCTCCTGCTCCTCGGGCGACTTGGCCGACCAGTCGACCTCGCGGAAGACGAAGGGCAGACTGCTGCCCGGCAGCACTTGAAAGATCGAAGATGACGTTGCGAGCGAAGACGACGATGGCGAGCGCGATGAAAGAGAAGGCGACGAGTTGGAGCCGCTGCCACCTCGTCGGCGCATGCCGGGCTTGACTCGCAGCAGGAGCGTGCGCAGGGCCGGGTGGCACTTGAGCAGCGTCTGCCACATTCTGCGCACATCGGCGGCCGACAGCTGTTGTTGGTGCGCGTCGCACCTGATGTCGCAGCACCACTGCTGTACGTGCTGCGAGTTGTTAGCCGTGGCCGTGTCGGCGATGCGCTGGAAGACGTTGTGCTGCTGAATGGTGAGCGGGCAGGCGGTCCAGCGGCCGTGAAGCGACACCTCGTCGGCGTCGGCGCCTTGGCCCTCGGCGCCGAGCGGTGTGATCAGCTCGTGCTCGTCCAGCACCTGGAACTGCAGGGTGTCCTGGCCTGCACCCAGGAGTGAGGCCTCGATCACCTTCAGGCGGTCCTTCTCCTCGCTCGCCCGGTCGGTCTTGTCGGTGCTCTCGTAGCCGAACATCTCGTTGAGCAGGCCCGTCAGCTCCTGCATCGATATCTCGCCCGAGATGATCATGTCGCACAGGTCCTCGAGCTGCGCCTTGTCTTCGAACATTTCCGTCAACTTGCCGCCTGTGAAGTGCGCCGGCGTGAGTCAGGTCAGAAAGCCTGTGCTGTAGCGTCGTCAACAAAAGTAAAAGGTACCTTTGTCGCCGTTCATGAGTGATTTGAGTAGCGCGCTGTCCTTGATGAGGCGCTTGATGGGTGTGAGGTTCATGAGCTGGTCGAGTACGCTCGGGTTGTCCATGAGTCGCTCGAGCAGATGGCTATACGAATCGCCTGCGCGCACATCCACCGAACAGCCGACATGACGTGACGCGTCAGCAGCATGCACTACCAAACGTGGCGAAGCCGCCAGCCCAGCTTAGGGTACCTTCGTCGTTGTTGGCGGGTTGTGCAGGGTCTTCGAAGCTGAGAGCCGACTCGGCGTCTGAGTCGGCTTCCTTGGCCTTGTCGGGCTGGGTCAGTCGGGCGGCGGCGGCGGTGCGTTTGCGCGCAAAGTCGGCGCAGTAGGCGCAGATGGCCACCACGGCCTCCAGCGGAGGCTTCACCTGGAACATGTTGACCAGCATCGGGATGAGCGCACCTGGTGACACACACACACACACACACACACACACACACACACACACACACACACACACACACACACACACCAGCGAAAGATGAAGATGGCGGTGAGCACAATCTCTCTCTGACACGAAGATCAAGAGGCAAGAGGCGACTGACCCTTGGGGTTTACGTGCACGATGTGCACGAGCTTGCAACTGGTCTCTGCATCGCGAACGACACCATAGCCCGTCACCTGTGAATAGAAGTGGCCCGCCAGATGCATCAGCACATCATGTTCCTGTGAGACATGAAGGGCAAGCACACACACACACAAAGGGAGAGAGGAGTCTACCGACACGTAGGCGCGCACGACGCCAGGAGCCGGCGGGCTGGATGGCACCTCAATGCTGCGGGCCGCCGTCACGAAGTCGAACCCTGTGCACACCACGTAGTCGCTACTCTGAGAACTTGGTAGCAGCGCATTTTTTTAAATTTTAATTTTTTAATTTTTTTTGCTTTATTTATTGACGTTTATGCGGCTGTGCGTGACACAATAAAGATTAGAGTTATTTATTGACGTAATTATTGATTTAAAACAAAAATAATGGTGGTTTAATAATATATATTTGCAGAGGAGGAGTTTTTACCTGCAACGTTGCGTGCGGACGTTTCGAAGGTGGTCAGGTCGCGGTTGGCGATGGGTCCGACAGTTGGGAAGGTGAAGTGCAGGATCGAGTGGTTGTCGTCGAATTGGCGCAAGATGGTCTTGGCGGTGAAGACGGCTGGCGCGACGCGCTGCAGGAATTCGGCGTCGTTGAGGAAGGAGACAAGCGTTTCAGCATCAATCTGGACCCGCGTCTCGAACCGCAAGAGATTGATGGCCGAATCGGGCCGCCTCTTCTCGAAGACGACGATGCCCTTGTGCTCCTTGGTTCGCTTCCACCCGCGGCGCGTGGTGGTCTCCTCCGTGGCCACATCGATGAAGGCCTGCAGTACGTCCTTCCCCTTGCGTGTAAAATCCTCATCGTCTTCGACGTTGATTTTGGCCACATCCTCCTTCCTTGGTGTTGTGGCCTCCTTGATGGTGGCCTGCTTCTGAGAGGAGGAGCCGAATCCGTTGAAGAATCGCTCCATTCTCACTCGATCTCAATTCTATATTGAAAAAAAAATCGATTTGGAATCTTGGTATCAGATTTCGGCCTCCTCGAATGATGAAAGAGGCAGACAGAAGGAAGAAAGGAGGGAAAGGGGAGAGGTTACACGCAGACAGCTGGGTTGAGATGGGCCGTTGGAGAGTGCAACCAGAGACACCTCGCGTGTCGCTCGTCCCGGGCTTTGTTACCTGCGGCTCGCGGCAATTTTGCGCCTGTGGGGAAGAAAGTCGATGGCCATTTCAAACTCGCGTTTCTTCTTAAAAATGTGAACTATGTCGCCCGAAAAAAGGCGGGCTACACCGAAATATTTGGATGTCGGTGAGTTTTTGTGGCGCTCAACTCCGGTGGTTGCTACGAGAAAGAAACAGCCAAGGAAATTTATTTATTTATTTTTCCAGTTCGTTCTTTATTGCGTGGCCGAACTGATTAGACTGCTGACATGTGGAACTCCCTCTTTGGATCCAAGGCTGATGCGACTGCCAAGAGCCCGGCGGGCACCCCCGGTACGCGTCTTTGTCTTTTGTCATTTGGATTTAATTTAAATGCACACAATTCATCTCATTTGATGGCATTCCGAAATCTCTGCACATCAGAGGGTGAGAAGCGCAAGGCGGGACCGATGAGGGCGTTGGACCAGGTGAGCGCGGAGAACTACCTGGACGTGGGCCGTGCCATGGTTGCCGAGTTCGTGGAGACCGTCCAGGGACGGCCTGAAGATGGCTGGCAGGTACCGTGCGCGCCGTAGTTTATTTTTTACGCTTTTTGGCCAACCACCACTTTCTTTTTGTGCGGTATTGTGTGATCACACGCACGCAGCTGGCCAAGACGCAGGACGGTGTCACCATCCACCGCAAGGCCACCGCTTCGTCCGACATCAACCGACTTCGAGGTTTTTTTTTACCTTCTTTTTCCCACTTCATACGATCATGCCACACAAACCTTCGAGCGCTCACCACCACTTATGCACACCGCAGGTCAAACCACGATCAACGTGGCGCCCGAGAAGGTGTTCGAGGCCCTGGTGGACTCTACGCACCTCAAGTACGTGGACCAGCTGTACATAAGCTCCAAGGTCTGCGAGCAGTATGACCCCGAGCACGCCATTCTC